TCGCCCACCAATAACGTCACACTGGAAGGGGGTCCGTAATTTCAAGACGATGTTTGATGAGGAGAAGAGGGTGGGTCCAGATAGTATGAAGTCACACTTTCGTGTTTTAAAAAAGTAACGTTAGAAACTGATTTTTAGCTATTATTTCGCGTTTTAGAAACCTGCTCTAATGAATTGTAACAGAAATATACTGTTATAACCCCCCCCCCCCCCCGCTTACGCCACTGATTACAGCTAAAACATGCTTCTAGATCTAAATGTTTTGATAGATTTAAAGTAGATTTTTAAGTATAGGGCCGCCAGACCCTCACTGCCCCCCCCCCCCCCAAACGAAGTCATTTATGAATAACTAGTTGCTACTGCTGCCAGCAATCATCATTGGCTTGACAGTAAAATATTCACTCCCAGATGTCACACAAAAAAAAAATTACTCTCAATATTGATACAGACATGGATCACATCCTTAACCCAGGTTTATAAATTAATTTTTAATCCTTTGTAAGTAACAACAAAAACATTTTAGTTTTTATTCATGTCTGTTTTTTTTTTTTTTCTTATTTTTCTTTGATCATTTCAGGACTTTGTTCTGATTTTTTTCATAAACCTTTATTTTATAAAAACCAACCTACGAAACAAATAAATACAATAAGAAAGATCTTCACATTGCAAGTGCAAGGACACCAACCAATGAAGTGACAAAATAAACCGGGAGTGATCTCCCCTAAACTTTCTCGAATATTCTAATATAACACTACGGAAATGGCAACTCGGACATAGACAATATTTGTAATCCATTTTAAATTACTAAAATTTTTTGTGATAGAATAGAATCTCGTAAAAAAATTGCACACTAACTGAACGCCAAATAAAATGTGCATAATAGTGCGGGATATTATTAGTACTTAATAAATTCACATGGGGAATTTTTGAGAAATCGGAAATAGCGTACATTACTACTTCCGGTCGACGGAAATTACTCAAAATTTGATAGAACGCAGACACTTAGAACTTTTAGTTACATGTGAAATTTCATTTATCTATCTGAAATAGTACTCAAGTTATAGGCTTTTGAAAAATTCAAAGTAGAAAAAGTTCCACTTTCGGTTATCGGAAATCGCTCAAAAGTATTAGGTGTCAGACGATATAGTGAAGTCAAACGTATTTTCATTACGATTAAAAAAAAAATCTAGCTACCATACTTTACAATACCATAGTAAAAAAGTGATGCTACGTTTGGCCATATTATATCTATCCAGCATTGCTAACAACTATGCTTTTAATGAACTTTTTTTAAAAACTCATATATATATATATATATATATATATATATATATATATATATATATATATATATATATATATATATATATATATATTGTAAAAATTGTAGTTGAGCTCTTCCCTCATACTTATTTACAACATGATCTTCCTTTTGAGGTACTCATTGCGTTCAGACAACTGTGTTGTTTGTAAAGATATGCTTTTTGTCAGTAAACACCATGCGCTTATTTCCCTTGCAACAAAATCTAAATAAAACTGTCAGCAAACAAATCTTTAGAGAAAAAATAACCTCTAACCCTGTACTTTTTTTCTATGTATTGTTCATCTGCGGAAAAATTCAGAGATCGAACCTTACAATAACCTAGGATGTCATATATCAGCGAAATAATAATAAAAAATAGATCATTTAATAGTTGATATTGATAATATTTAAAACTAAGTATAAGGATACTATGATTTTTACATTAAAATGTATATTAAAATTTTCACTCATCCGCCATCAGTACCCCTCGTCCACCAGTCTGAGAACCGGCCTTTCACAATCGGCAAAAGGATGAGCGAATTATTAATAGGGCTGCGCTTTTTTTCAGCGTGCACTTTTTTTCTGTTTGCGTTTTTTTTCTGTTTTCGCTTTTTTCCGTGTGCACTTTTTTTTGTTTGCTCTTTTTTTCGTTGCGCTTTTTGTTTTGCGATTTTTTTGTTGCGCTTTTTCCGTTGCGCTTCTTTCTGTGAAACGTTTGATTGTAGGGGGAATAGAACTTGGTCTTGACGATGGTTACAAAAGTACAATTATAAATAACTTTTTAAAATATGAAAATAAATTTGACATCAATTTTCGATCACCCTTCTTCTTCTTCTTCGTTCTTAATTGAATGTATGGTGGAGGATTTAGACAACAAGTCCAACTTCGTGAATAAACCGGACTGTGGTCTCCATATCAGCAGGTGCCTCATATAATTTTTCCCTGAGTGGGGTGAGCAGGGGCCAGTGTCTGACTCGCGCATGGCTATATAAAGAACATTCCTGAAGGACGTTTCGATCACCCAATTTGGTCCACCCCTGCCCCATCCACCACAGTACACTTTGGGGGATCGGTCGAACAGTTCGTGTCCCCTATTTTGCTATCAAAGGGGAGCAATGAGTCACAGAATTCATTAAAATTTGAAGAATTGCCTATACTTTACACTACAGTTTGTGTAATGGATGTTAATGTTTGCAGAAGAGCGTGGTATAATGACTGTAAAAATAACGATAATCGTACCGCAGCTGCAGTATTTTTTTAATAAACCAAATATCAAGGCAAAAATGCACAAAAATAAAATTTAAATTTAAATTTTTTTTTATTAATTATGGTTGGCTGTGGGCCCCTAAATTGCGGGGTCTGGTGGCACTGTAGTTCCGCCCCTGAGCTGCAGTAGGGGCCTCAACAGTGGGCCGTGTCATCGGGAGCAAACAAGGCGCCCATATGGGTACTATGGCCCCGACATTCATTTGAGAAGAATCTAATCACAGGTTGCATCCATCACCCGTGCAGTAATGTAAACGGTGGCTTCTTGCAACCCTTCCCCCACCCCCCTGACTCCTTGGCTATCGCCGAGGGGTGTTTCTTCCACCATTGCGGATAGCGATCGAAGTAAATTGGGGCTTCTCAGTGGTAGTGTGGACAAACTAGCACCCCAACAACTAACTTGGGGCCTCTATGTTGTAGTGTGGAACCTAGCGCTCCAACAACTAAGCTGGGCGTCCCGTTGGTAGTGTGGACACCTAGCGCCCCAACAACTAAGATCCATGAAATAAAGTGCCGACTTTGTTTACATTTAATTACAGTTTTGGAAAACAAGAAAACGTGTTGGCGAAAAACTCATAAAAAGCTGCGTCAGTTTGCTATGTTTGACTAGAAATCGAGAGTCCGAGCTTCTTACTTCGATAACTTTATGTAGCAAGCTCACAGAAAAACAACACATAACGTGTATCCACAAGCACTCGAATAAATAAATATAATTAGACCGACACTTTAAAAGTGTTCTTATTAAAATGAAAAAAATATAACACAATGTAAATTGAATTTTATCATCATGACAATCGTCCTTGAATTTGTTTCTTCTATAGCTGCAGCAGCTATCTATCTGTGTATCTATCTATCTGTGTATGTATCTGACAAGAACGCTCTAGAGAAAACACAAGCAAATTAAAAACATGCACAGTAAGACGGAAACGAAATATGACGTCACATTTAGCATACAGTAGAAAATAGTATCAAGCCGGAGAGTGCACACAGTAATATGGCGTCATTGATTCTCGAGTAAACATTGAATAAAAAGGCAATTTTGTCTAATCTAATTGGGTTGCGTGAAAGGTTTCATTCATACAATTCTTCGGGTAGGGGCGAAGCCCCACCCCCGGTAGCACGTCTAAGCCTACTCCCCCCCCCCCCCAACTCAAAAGAAATGTCGTCATCGATACTCTATAATAAAATTACAGCCTAATTCATGTGTCTAATCTAAAAAGTGGTTTGCGTGCAGAGTTTCTTTCATGCACTTCTTCGGATAGTGGCTAAGCGCGACACCAGTGTTTCATTCAGACTTTTTCCTCCCCGGAGGGAGGAACTTTTTCTAATCTAAAAAGTGTTTAGCGTGCACAGTTTTTTTCATGCATCTCTTCCGGTAGGGGCGAAGCCCCGCCCAGATTATATATATATATATATATATATATATATATATATATATATATATATATATATATATATATACACATATATACGCCCCCCCCCCCTTCCCCCAGTGGCGTAGCTATGATTTTCGGGGCCCTATGCAGAAATTATTATTGGGCCCCCTACGTTAATCTGTAAATTGTGTATTTTATACGTCCATAGTTGCGTGATAGCGAAACTTGTGACGCCACTAACTGAATGCACATTTTAAAAAGTTGCTCTTGATTTATTTATATTTGTTTTTTTTTCTTTCTTATAAGTATGCAAAGTGATTGATATGTTCCTTGTAGTCCATTTTAGCTGCTTCTGTGTGTTCGATACTTAGGATGGCCAAGTTTCTGACCCAAAGGGCATATCTACACCTTGTTTCATAACATCATCATAATGGAGAGACTTGGGGCGCCCAACTGTATATTAATGCCGAGGCGACTGGAGGACACCCCTTATTTTCTTTAGCCATTGATTATAGTAGCCCTCCGTATACCTAGGGCATGGCACTTATTAAAACAAGTGTATGCGCCGTAGTGCTCACGGGGAGAGCCCGGGGCGCCGGCTGATGCATCTGTGGAGTTTAACCGTTGAATTAAGCAGTAACCCTGACCCCTTGTGCAGGACACCCAATTAACTGACCCTAGGTGCTAAGAAAGACGCTGGGAAACTTTGGGGGGCAAACCGAACCGCCTTACTGTCAAAGGGCCGCTCTCCGAACGAAATTAAAAATATATTTAATGGCAACAAACTACAGGAGTCAGAGTTTCTTTCTGGTTTCTTTTCGAGGGGAGAGGCACTGCTCCTCATGTGTGGGGTTGTGGTAGTAATTTTCACGTTCAGCAGAGGTTTGTCTGAATTATTCTAAACGACTTCCCAATGTTTCTTGGCGATTGGATCATTTTTGTATTAATGCATAAAGGACATGGAGACAGACAAACAAACATCTTTAAGTAGCGACATATTGATGAGAGTTAAATTAGATCAACAAACATATTGTGATTATGGTTAAAACTAGAAAAACATTGACACATTTTCGACATAGCTTGTTGTGAAAATACTGTCCACGGCTGTTATTAAAAAAAATTGGCTCAATTGTAATCATGGATGGATGGAATTTAGGTGAGGACAAAGAGTTGAGAAGGGTGGGGTGCAGGTTTGTGGCGGTGTGGTAGAGTTTTTAGCGATGCGTATAAATTTGCGGGTGCCGGATACCAATCTCACAAAAGAGTCAATGTTCAAGTTTATTTATAGGCTAATTCTCTCAACGGCTTGCCCGACAATGAAACAATGCTTATAGATGGGCCTTGTAACCCCCCCCCCCCCCCCCCAGTAAGAAAGATTTGCGGGCCTTTTTGTTTTGGATTTTTAAAATTACTTCTACAGTAGAAAAGAAACTGGATTTCCGTTTTCTTTTTAAAATTATTTTTATAATACAAAAATTAAAATTCAATATAAAAGTTTTTAAAAATTTTGGGGGAAAAGGGCCCCTATTTGCCTTGGGCCCCTATGCCTTGCTTACGCTAGCTTTACGGTAGCTACGCCACTCCCCCCCCACCCGAATAAAGTCTACTGCCCCCCCCCCCCCTCACAAAATGGAATTTATATAGAAAACATACTTTTACCAGTAACCCCCCCCCCCAAATATATAGTGCCCCCACAGAGAAAAAAGTCTGGAACAATTACTGATGACGATGCAGTTTGTTGATAAGAGGCGCTTATTATCTTGATTGCATTACAATTGATAAGTATTTAAACATCAACATACCTTGATATTAACTGAGTTGATTTTTCAATACTTTCTTTGATCACACAAGGATTGTTCAAACCAACTGATACTAGCTGTACCTGTTCGGTGAAAAAAAAATGCTTTGCTAGCAGGTTGTGTATCTTTTCTACAAAGAATTATTAAACTGTTTTACACTGCTCTTATTACAAGGTTACTAATTTTCTGCTCTTTTATGTACACATTGTTTGCGTTTATTTTGCATGTCTTAGTGGTGGGGGAGGCACTTATTTCCGAAACACGTCCATCGCCACCGCCACCAACCGCAGACAAAATAAAATTTAAATAGAAAATATATACTTTTACCTATGTCTCCACCACCAGAAATTTAGTTCGTACCCCTCTCGAAGGTTTAAAGTGCTTCCCGGAGAAAAATATCTGAAAGAAACACTGGTTCTTACCTTGCATATTTTACCCAATGAATCTCCACTGTTATTTGGCATGATAAACTCTATATCAAAGGGGCTATAGATAGTATTTCTAGCAGTCTGAACATCCAAAAGTATGCGTCCGGTTTTTCCAATGGTTATAGTATCATTACCACTTCCTCCAATACTTAATACTCTTGATGGTGTGTTTTGAGTCTTTAAACGGAAAGAATATTAAAAAATAACCTGAAGTAAGTGCACAATTCATTTTACAAACAATAAAAAAATAAAGTTATATATATATATATATATATATATATATATATATATATATATATATATATATATATATATATATATATATATATATACATTAGAACATGGGTTCCCAAATTGGGGGTCGCAACCCCCCTGGGGGTCGCGAAGGGCTTTCTGGGGGAGGGGGGGGGGGGCGCGAACTGGTAGACTAAATCCGAGCAATGAAAGAAAAAACAAATATTTAGAAGAATGTCTGAAATTTGACTTTACTAACATCACAGGAAATGAAATAGAAAAAAAAACAATGTGTACTGTGCTAAGTTGTTCTTAGTCATGAGTCTATGAAACCTTCAAAACTTAAACATCATTTTGAGACGAGTTATTCGGAACACACCAAAAAAGATATGGAGTTCTTTCGTCGGCATGAAGCTAGTTGCAAACGTCAGTGACTTAATCGAACACGAAGTTTTCTTCAAGGAAACACAGCAAGTATCAAATGAAGTAGCATTATTAATTGCCAAGCAAAAACAATACAAAAGGAGAAAATCTCATCAACCCATACATATTGAAGATGGTGAGATTAATTCTTGGTGATTCCAGTGCAGTAAAGATGCAACAAATATCTCTGTCTAATAATACTATTCAGCGGCCTATAGCAGACATGCCCGTAGATGTTAGAGCAAATTTTGAATTAAATTAAGCTTTCACCAACAGACATTAGTTTGTGTTTGCAGTTGCTTGCCTTTGTGAAATATATTCATTCAGATGATAGCAAAGAAGAGTTGCTATTTTGTGAAGATATTATGGAGAAAATAAATACGTTTTTTTTTAAACTGGAAATTTAAAATGGGAATACGGGTTTGTACAGATGGTGCGCCATCTGTGTTTGGGTCAAAATCGGGCTTGCAGAAAACAGTAAAATATTTAGCTCCCTAACCAAGGGAAATCCACTGCATGATTCACCGGTATGTCCTCGCCATCAAGACTCTTCCGACTCCATTGCTAATAAAAATCGTAAATTATAAATCTGGAGCCCTAAACAGTTCTCTGTTTAAAGAACTGTGCAAAGACATGAATAAAGATCACGAGGCTTTGCTTTTCTACACTGCAGTATGCTGGCTGTCAAAAGGATATATTGTAAATCGTGATTTTTAATTGAAAGATGAAATTAAGTTGTTCTTGGAAGTGCAAGGGAAACAAGACCTTTTGATATACTTTAACGACACGGTGTGGTTGGAGAGAGTATCATACCTAGCAGATATATTCGATATCGACATACAAAATGAAAGAATATAATCTCTTTTCATGATAATCTCTGGGCATTTATACCAGAGCTGCAAAATTGGCGAAGAAAAAAAAATCTTGGAAATATTGCCATGTTTAAGAAACTCTGCAGTGTGGTAGATGAATCTGATTGTGAGCTAAATAAAATATTGAAACAGGAGATTTCTGGGCATCTTAAATCTTTAGAAAACGAACTGCGGCGTTATTTCCCTGAGCTGAAAGAAGAAGAAACTGCATTGATACGTAACCCATTCTCTGCGTCCCTTGATGTTGTAAATTTGCAGAATGACTCCGCGTCATAAGAAAAACTGCTCACACTTTTGGTGTAGTACGCACCATTTATACCCACACGTGAAATTAATTGCCTTTCCAGTTTTAGTTCCTTTTGTGTCTACATATCTTTGCGAGAATAGATTTTCAACACTTTTCCAATTAAAAACAAAACATTGAAATAAATTATATGTTGAGAATGACATGAGATTGGCGTTAACAAAAACTAAACTGCTAATGTTGAGGGTAGTGAATAGCATGAAATTCTACTCATCGTATTAAAACAGTTATAAAAAAACAATTCATTTTGAAAGTCTACAAGAAAATCTAACTTTAGGTCCTATAAATCTTCTTAATTGTTTCGACTTTTTAATTCCATGGGGGTGGCGGGTCACTTACTTTTAGTAAAAGGGGGACGCCACTCAAAAAAGTTTGGGAACCACTGCATTAGAATGTACTAGAAAGTTTATGGGAAATCACTCCCGCTTTATTATTTATTTGTTTCTGGTGATACAATTATGTCAAAATTAACTTCTCAATTTCAGATGCTTACAAGAATTCCCTACAATATGTCTCTGAAGGTAATAAGAAAACGTAGCACAGTGTGCAGACGGTATCTTAAATATATTTAGTAGATAGTGGATATAGAATAAAAATGGGCAGTATTAAAGGATGAACAGATTAACATACCGTTATAGCATCTGCAGATGCAGAACTTGAAACTTGCAGCGACACTTTACCGATTGTAAGCTTATCAACACCCACGAACATTCCAAAATAGACATCATGATTACTACCAACAGTAGCCATTGAATGGTTAGTGGCTTTGACTAAGACCTTGAGTCTAACTGTATTTCTCGTCACATTGTCTTGTTGATTCCAAGAACTGGAGCCTAAGTTGGTTATTCGACCTGATGGACAGAAAATTCGCTGAGGAAACTTTAAACTTCTTTATCTATGTTTATAAATGATAGGCCTACACACAAAGAACACTTTTTATGGACTATTGGAATACATTCATATTATTTGATATCATAAATAGAGGTAGCTATAAATAATTTACCTAAATCAACTCTTGCTATGTCTGTATAGAAAGTGTCATTAGCGGTGATGATATATTGTGGATCAAATTTATTCACACTGGCACATGCAATGTTTTCCCCATACCAAACTGTTAAAGCACACACTTGGTAAATCGCTTGACTATCATTAAAGGGAGCAATGGCTTCAAAGAAATAGTCAGCTGTTGAATATAAAGAAAATAATTGTATTAATGATTGCTTAAGAGGTAGGTTGTTTGATTGTGTAGTACATTTTGATCCCGTTACCACCTGTCTTTTTTGCATGAATATTCATTTAGCGACTTCTAGTAATTAGATAACCGAAAAGAACATACAATTTTTATTAGGAAAAATAACCAAAAATTACAATGATATTGTATTATTTTTTATTAGAATATCCAGTCAATGAAAATGTTAACAATTTAAATAATTTCTTAACATTAGGCCACTAGTTGCAGTTTTTATATTTTATTCACCAGTTGAAACATGACCAGCGGATAGTTTACTTGAAACACATGGAACTTACCCGCTGTGTTTTCTGGTACAATCATGTCTATTTGAACGATAGCTGGCCTAGTTTGGCTTAAACTTGTCCCATTTACAACTGCTACATTGAAAGCTGGTGTCACAGACTGGAGTTAAAAATAAATACAAGTATTGTGAAAATCAATCAATAGAACTATTTTCATGCAATAGGATTAGTACCTAATTCAATCAACAAGATCATGCTAATTAAATAGTTATCACCAATTAATGCAGAGTTTTTTTTCTCAGTAAGATGATTGTGGTTAGACGTAGATTCAATGACTTATTACCCCTGAGGCAGACTTGGCAGTAGCAGTGATTTTCAACTGACCAGCCCAAATCGATGATGATGAAACCATAACTGTGGCTCCAACCCATAACTCTTTACCAATCAGTGAAGTATCATCAAAGAGTGTTATTTGTATCGAAAATGACATCACCCCAGCTTGTGATAGAGTTGAATACTCTCGAGCCACTATAGAAAAGAGAACCGTGTTAATGTCTTAAAGAATTTAGATTCAAATGTTAAAATCTTGGGCAAGTTGGGAGGATGGACCTAAAGAATCAGACATTCCAAGTATTTGTTATTTTATATTTTTGGCCCAGTAGGCTACTGCTTTTGCTACCATTTAGAATATACACTTACACACGTTATGTTAGACTTGTCAGCAGTCATTCAGGCATAGACAATCAATTAAATATTATAATCATATAGGCTACTTTACATTGATCTATAGCAGGAGTCGGCAACCTGCGGCTCGCGAGCCGCATGCGGCTCTTTTGATGTCATGATGCGGCTCTTCGGCTCCATGCACAAATTTTAATAACTATTTTATTTTATTTTCAAAACTAAAAATATTGTTTTGCAACACTCGGTAATAAATTCTAAAATCATAAACATAAACATTAAACATTCGCTATTCTATTCAAATATTTAGGTACTCCCTATTTTCAATGTACTTCCTATTAAACTGTTCATCCCGAATTGAAACATTCAACTTCATGGTGGATATCACAAAGAAAATAAACGAGCTAAATGTAAAACTGCAACTAAAGGAAAACTCAGCCTATGCCTTGCTTGAGAAGTGGATTTATCTAAAAAAAAATTACTTTTTTTTGTTGAAGACACGGAGAGCGGTAAATTACTTGATTTCGAAAAATCTGAAAAACAAATCTAGAAACCAATGCAACTATTAGCATGAATTGCTTCAGCATTACAACAAACAAAACGAAGGATGGATTCACTGAGAGATTTGAGCAATTCAAAACAAATGCAAGTACTCTGACGTTCATAGTAGACTCTCTCAACACAAAAAAATTCGATCAACTTTGAGCTATTTGGGATTGATGCTGGTTCGCTTCAAATGCAATTGCTGGATTTGAAAACATATCATTTACGGAGCGAAAAATTCACAGAACTCAAGAGCAAGTAAAAATATTTGAAGGTCCAGTAAACATGCACGTTAAGTTGCACAACTGGACAGCTGTAAAAGAAATATCGCGAGTTGAGCTAAAATACTATAATATGTTTTGTGCGAAACATGTGTATTTTTTTAAAATATGAATAAATATTATTTCATATTTAAAACTAATATATATATATATATATATATATATATATATATATATATATATATATATATATATATATATATATATATATATATATATATATATATATATATATATATATATATAAACCTAATCCTAAATATTGAAAAAAAATGTTAGTAGCTATTTAAAAACTGATAAATTTTGTAAATTGCATCTTTTGACTCTTCCGTCTCAAAAGGTTGCCGACCCCTGATCTATAGGCCTACAATTAGTGATACACCAAGATTTCTATAATTTACTATGAATTAAAAACATACGCTAGGATAAATTGGTATAGAATAAAGTTTGTGATAGAGATTGTGAGTTGTATAAGTGGCATATGTTTTGGTTAGTTGTTGATGTAAATCTCTAAGTACAAGTAGGCCGAATTTTCTTAAAACAAATAGAGTCAATCAAAACCCCATTTATTAATAATCGTATAGGACTAATGGATATCAGCGCTCTAAACAGTGTCTACAAGAGTCAAGCTAAAGTCGACAATTGATTTGAAAAGTCTATGTAATCGTACTAAAGTTTTGAAAAAAACTTTTTTAAAAATATGGCAAGCGATAAAGTAATAGTTACATTAAACTAAAAGCTGTTTGGGAACCATCGATTATACTAATTTTCATATTTTTGTCATGAATATAAACCGTTGAAAAGCCGTTTATAGTTATTTTATCAATTCAAATGTGTAAAAAGATTGCCCTCAACCTCTAATTGAAGTAAACCGGAATGGCAAGGTTTTCTCCAGATATTAACGAAGATATTTGAAACGAGATTAATGGCCCGTTGAGGAAGGATACAACGGGCGCTAGGTTGATAGTGTAGTCTCTTTTCTCTAAACCAAAACCAAAGCCACCTCCTTAACCTCAAATTGAACCCGAAACGAAAAACGACATTGAAAACAGATTTTTATCCAGAATCGGCATTTTAATTGGATTTAGGCTTGATCTACACTTTGTTACTGCAAATTGATACTAAATAGCCTATAGTCGTAGCCATACTCCTAAACCTTGAACCTAATCTCAATCATGACAAAAGTCGCATTTAGAGTTTCTTTTAGGCGACTCTTCTTATCCCCCACCTCCCCCCCCCCCACACACACACCCCAAAGCACATCTACCGTCCCATTCAACGAAATAGAATTTATATAGAAAATATTCTTTCATCAGTGTCCACCCCCACCCCCGAATATGTCAAGTACCTCCCCCCCCCCCTCCGGGGAGGAAAAAGTCTGAAAGAAAAACTGGTCGTATTTGTAGATCATACAGACAATATTTTTATTCTGCTTGTGTTTTCTCTATAGCCGGCTTTAGACTATTTCCTACTAAAGGCTCCATGTGACGTCATGTTTCGTTTTCGTTTTACTATGAAAGTTTTTACTCTGCTTGTGTTTTCTCTATAGCGTTCTTGTCAGATAGATACATAGATACACAGATAGATACACAGACAGCGAAACTATTAATATAGATCGATACATATGTAGTATAATGTTCACAAAATATTTTTTTTTAAATAAATCGGGAGTGATCTCCCCTAAACGTTCTAAAATATACTTATATAACAACTAGCCGTCCCGGCCAGGCCCTGTCCTGGCTTCTGTGATGCCTTTCTGTTAAAGACCATTACCTGTGTGTTTAGTAATCATCATAAACCCGGCATTGCCCACCCAAACCACAACCAACCAAAACAACAAAACGCAAACATAACGCTAACACAATTACAAATACAAACGAAAACAAAAACCTAACAACAAACCCAACCACAACCACAAACACTAATACAAACACAAAGAAAAAACAAACAAAAAAGCAAACGAAAACAAAAACCTAACAACAAACCCAACCACAAACACCAATACCAACAAAAAAAAAAACAACGAAAAAGCAAACGAAAACAAACCAAATCCAAACGCAAAACCAACCAAAAACACAAATACAAACCCAAAGAAAAAAACAAAAACAAAAACGAAAAAAGAAAGAACAAAAACGAACCAAATCAAAACGCAACCACTAACGCAAACCCACCTAAACACAAAGAAAACACTAACGCGAACATAAACGCCCGGGGCGGAATCACCTGTTTTAGCTTAATGAACGACTATAGTACCCCAACTTATTCACAGTCTTTTGCACTCACTTAAACGAACGCGCCTGTTTCAATTTAATGAACAATTTTAATACTCCAAGCTTATCGGTAAAATACCTACAACATTTGCACTTGATCAATCCCCGCTAGTTATGTAATTATTTTTTTTCCCAACACCAAAACAAAGTAATTAAAAAGTAAATTATTTTCGACTAATGCAATGGTTTTATAAAGGGAAGTAATTGTGTTTTCCTAATTTATCAAAGGGAAGTAAGTGCTATAGGACTAAATAAAGACATAATTAGAATTTTTGTAAAAGATGATATTTTTTTAAAACCTGTGTTTAATGAACATGCCGACAATTATTACTGTAATTTGAAAAATGAAAATTATTTCCCAACACTTTCAATAGTAATTTTTTAACTCATAAATTTAGAGAAATGCGCACGATAATATTATAACACTTTAATCCATCCAAGACCAACGACAAACATGCATTACATACAGAACTGAGCTTTATATATTAGATACGGGGAATGGCAACTTGGGATATAGACATCAATCAACTTTTAATTACTTAGGGGTTATCCATAAATGACGTCACGCTTTTTGGACGATTTTTTACCTCCCCCTCCCCTCTGTCACACATCGTCACAAAAAGCCAGACCACTCCCACCCCCCGTCACACCTCAGCCTACAACCCCCTCAAAATTGTAGTTGAGTTTTTCTTAAAACATCGATATTTTTCCAAAATCTTGTCTGAACTCTGTCATCATAGAGTATTTTTAATCAATGCCTATAACAATGTATTAAAACAGTTTTCTAAAACGCGATATAACGGCTAAAACACGTTTTCTAACATTGCTTTTTAAAATGCAAAAGTGTGACGTCAAACTATCTGAACCCCCTCCCACTCATCACACACCGTCACAAAATTACGCAAAGCGCTCCTCCCCCCCCCCCCCACCCCCCAACGAGTGTGACGTCATTTATGGACGATCTCTTAATCTTTAAAAAAAAAATTTCATAAAAAACGTTTTCATAACAAGCTTTTATGTACTAATGCACTAAAAAGTAGAAAATAAATTATAGACTACTATTTAAATAACTAGAAAGAAAAGCGTGGGTCACTTTAGTATCTATTGGATACCTTCACTAATGTTTAGGAAGAGACCCATGCTTTTCTTTATAGTTATTTAAATAGTAGTGTATAATTTATTTTCTACTTTTTAGTGCATTATTACATAAAAGCTTGTTATTAAAACGTTTTTTATGAATTTTTATTCCTGTACTCTAGAACTTTTGTTAGAACTACAACATCCTTTTTCGTCGAGGTTTTATTTTAGCAAAATGATCAATTACGTCTTTTAAATCAACATCAGAAGCTAATTGTCGTTCAGTCGTAATCAGGGCTAAGCTGGACAACCTGTCTTCGTTCATAGTAGAACGGATGTATGTTTTCGGGAGTTTAAGACGGCTGAAGGATCTTTCTGCTCCGGCACTGCTTATTGGTAAAGTCAGAAATATACGATACAAAGTGGACAGGTTTCGATACATAGAACACAAGTCATTAGCTATCATGAATTTCAGAATGCTGTTTACTGTCACCGCTATTTCTAGAGGTTCTTTTGCAGTTGAAACTCCCTTGTTTACATTGCTTACACTAAAAATTTCTTGGTAAAATGTTCTAAATGATACGAATTCCTGCACTACTTCAGTTACACTGTCAACAACATCCGAGTACGTCACTGCTAATTGCTGCAACTGTATTAAACTGTCATCTAGTGCTAAATGTTTTGGGTCTAAGCAACTAAACTTGGAAGACACATCTTTAAAATTTTGAAACCTTGTGTTTGTACTAGTTATGACAGAGTCAAGTGACACTAAATAAGTTTGAACTATGAATTTGTTCCTAGGGTCAGATATCTGAGTATCCTCTGCTCGTTCGTCATGGAATATTTTCCGTTTGTATAACCTGTGTTGCTTATACTCTGTTTGAATATCACATTTCTCAGTGAGCTCAGTGGCTTCGTTCTCAATCTGCTCAAATTCTGATTCAAATTCATTTCTCTAGCTACCCATCTCATTTTCAAAAATCTGAATTAATCGAAAGGCTTTTAACATATCAATGCTACTCTTCTGTAAATAAATGGATACGTTAAAAGCCTTATGCAGAATTCTTTTCCAGAACATTAAAACAACTAAAAACTCAAAGGTCTCTATTGTAACAATATATATATATATATATATATATATATATATATATATATATATATATATATATATATATATATATATATATATATATATATATATATATACTTGGTTTCTTGGGGGGGGGGAGTGACACAACAAAGTGCCGCACCGGGTGACACCCGAGCTAGCGACGCCAGTGGTTTTTGCTATTTCAGATTTCTCAAAAACATGTGAATTTATAAAGTAGTAATAATATTCCGCACTATTATACACATTTTGTTTTGCGTTCACTTGGTGTGCATTTCTTTTTTCTACCAGATTCTAATACATTTAAAAAAGTTTAAATAATTAAACATGGATAAAAAATCATGTCTATATCCCGAGTTGCCATCACATGTTGTTTTATATAACATTATTCGAGAAAGTTTAGGGGAGATGACTCCCGGTTTAGTTTTAAATATAGAGGGAAGAAATACAACAAAGTCCATAGCTCAGGAAGCCTCTAGAAAAGAAGTGAGCTTTCAAGATGTACGAAATTGTACAGTACTTCTTTGTGGAACTTGTATACTTTGGATTATCTCCCTTGATTAAGTTTTATAAGGGATAAGTCTCGCTACAACATTTGATGACTAAATGTAACCAGGGGTTGCACCCGTCATCCGTGCAGTAATGTAACCGGTGGCCCCCAAGAGCATCGCGACGCCTCTTACACCTGGGCCGCCGCCGAGGGATGATCAGCGTAAAACGAAGCTTACAGCATGCCCTGTCTCATTGGTGGTGTTGACAAACCCGCGTCCCAACAAGAAAGATACAATAAATAAAGTGCCGACATTGTTCATATATAATTATGGGTGGATGGGTAGGTGGGTAGTTGGGTAGGTGGGTTGGTGGGTAGGTGGGTAGGTGGGTTGGTGGGTAGGTAGGTAGGTAGGTAGGTAGGTAGTAAGGTAGGTAGGTAGGTAGGTAGGTAGGTAGGTAGGTAGGTAGGTAGGTAGGTAGGTAGGTAGGTAGGTAGGTAGGTAGGTAGGTAGGTAGGTAGGTAGGTAGGTAGGTAGGTAGGTAGGTAAAGAATAATCATCGTGCGTCCCAAATAGCCAAGCTCAGCCAATATGCCCAGTAACCAAGGCCGTGTGGGGAAAAAAGACGATTAAAAAGACAAATACAAAAAAAATGCAGCCATGTATTAAAGCTGTCAAGTCAGCTTAGTAGTCGATTTATTTGTTCGGAACTGTGCAAGCTTTGACATTAAGTACTCTATTTTTGCTTTGAGAAATTATGTAAATACTTAGCAAAGAATAGCCGTAGAAAGTGGAATTTAACTGCTTAAATTAATGTGGTAATATTGAAGAATATTACTGTATTGAAGTAATATTGAAGAATATTAAATATTGAAGAATATTATTATATTGCTGAAGACTTTAACTTTATATGTACTATATATAAATTAAGAGCAAAGACCCTTGATCTACCTAGAATCTAGTAAAAGTCCTAGTTACTTCTTACTTTCTTCATAATAGTAGTTACTAGTTAAGTTACAACTTACAAGATAGATCAGTATTCACTATTTCAGTATCTACTAGTAGATCTAGTTACAATTCATGATCTAGTAGTAGAAGATAGTAGATATACTGCTAGCTAGATCTAGTATTAGATGATACTTGTAAATATTGTAAATAAACTAGGAAACAGAAACGTATGCCAAAGGGAGTTAATCGCTTTTCCCTGCCTTTTTTTTCAATTCACTATATTACCTTTCTTTATTAATTATTTTTTTCAAAAAAATCGGAACAAAACGAGTCAAATTCGGAATGACGGAACAAATTACTTTTTAGGTGAAAAAGTGGGACGGTTCCGATTTTAGCTGGATTGTAGACAAGTCTGTTATATTGTGTTTTACATGAATTTGCATGAATGTAGAGTACCTGGCTAACGGAAGGACTGTCTGAGCGACTCGTCGTGTATTTTTCCATGCTTTTGTGAGATCGCTCATGGACGTAAGGGGAGAGAAAGTTGTGTATAAAAGGTGGAGCGCAAGGTGAACGAGGTGTGCTTGCCTGTGACTGTGTAGTAAGATGTAAGATGTCACCACGTCTAGACTATAATGTAATAGTCATTTTTCTACAGTGGAATATTATTTTTATTTCTTATGGATCCATGTAAATAAAGTTTGAAGTTACAAAGCACTGTTTCTAGTATTCTTGAATGAACGAACCCACAATAACAACAGTATCATCCTATCAACAATATTACTGTTGTTACAATATATATATATATATATATATATATATATATATATATATATATATATATATATATATATATATATATATATATATATATATATATATATATATATTTGACAATCAATAAAAAAGCTTCAAATCAACTAAAATCGTCGTATATACTATTAAAACTTTGCAATGAGATACTTCGTTTGAGATCATTTGTCCATGATATCATTTGTCCTGGTCTTTTGTCCGTGAGATCGTATGTCTCGGGATCATTAATTGTCTTGTCACCATATATATATATATATATATATATATATATATATATATATATATATATATATATATATATATATATATATATATATTCTTTTATTTTCAATTATAAAAAAAAATACTTTAACATCAATGCCATTTTTTGTATAATTTACAAAGATTAAACAGAAACACACCGAAACGGTTCACACTTCCATTGCAGTGTCTAAGTGATCTTTGAAACCTTTGTTTACAATATGTACAATTGTGTAAAGTATTTATAAAGAAGCTACATGAATCAACTGAATGAATCGAAAGGAAAACAATATTTGTGGTGTGGTTAATTCAAATATTTGTATGAATAACTTAAAAAGGGTTAATAGAATTTAAAAAACATAAACATTGAAAACTAGTGGAAAAAGAGATTCATGTGGGCAAACCCGTTTGGGTGGGAGTAGGGGGATTGGGTTGGGTTGAGGCGACCAGATCATTTCAGCGTGTTAGGCCGTTGGAATATTTCCTTATTTGTTGCTATAGAGCAGGGGTCTCCAAACTACGGCCCGCGGGCCGGATGCGGGCCGGATGCGGCCCGCGATGTCCTCTCATCCGGCCCGCGGAGATCTTTTTGTCCACGGAAAAAACGTTTGTTGCTGATGGCTGAGGAACCTTGCCCAGAAAAATCAAAGACATGCCTGGAAGAAACTGGCCCCGAACTGAAATTCGATAGTTAATGCGGCCCTCGGACTGAAAAGTTTGGAGACCCCTGCTATAGAGTGACCGGTTACGGTAGTGCCCCGTATGGTTTGTATACAGATAGCTAACGTTCGCGTCTTTTTATTTAGGGAGTTAATTTAGTAAAATAATTATTTTTTTTACGCAGTACCATATTTCTATCTTATTTAAGAATAACAATTTTTCTTTAACTACTTCGTTATATCATGTCTACAACAAGCGTCCCATAAGTGGGACGCTAGCAACGAATGTCCCCGTGTAGATTGTTGAACAAATGTCGCAAATGACACTAGCGAGCAGATGAGGCTCGTTAGCTGGGGACAGCAACTCTTCTAGGAGAGACAACTCCAAAATTAAACAACTGCTGCCTTGTAGTTTGTTCTTGGTTGGACAAAGGCTATGGAAGCAAATCCAAAAAGAAAAGCAGGCTGAAATCGGAGTCAATGGCCTCAATGGCGCATAACCAGTTGACACGTAACGCTTAATTGTGTTGGAGGCGTGGTCGAGTCGGCAAAAAGCTCATGGTTGATAAATTCGAACAAAGTCTCGAGTTCAAACCCACTGGCAGATAAATCTCGATCCCCTTCAACACTAATAATTAAGAACGAAGAAGAAGAAGAAGAAGAAGACACTAGCGAGAAACACAGATGCAAAGGCCATTTTCCCGAATGGACACTTGTCCGAACGCAACAAACGCCCGAATGGGCACAAAAAGATATAGATGCAGTTGTAGATGCAGATGATGTAGATGATGGAGATGATATAACTATAGATATACATTTAAATGTAGATCTAGATTTAAATATAGATATAGATAAATATTTTGAGGATATTTATAGAGACTGAGTGAGCGATTTATAAAATAGTTAGGGAGTAAATAATATTTTATACTCACACTTGTTAACAGGTTTACCAAGGGCTATTTGCATTTGCTGGTTTCCAATAGTGTTGGTACCCTTTAACAACTGGGGTGTAAAAAGTGATAAATCTTTCAGGCCGCACTGATAAGCCTCATTAACATTCGTAAGTTTCGCATTGCAGATGCTCATAGCATTTGAAATATTGACAGGTGCATACATATTCAATGTAATATCTGCTTGAGGATAAAATAACTTTAAGTCCATATACAAGACGGCTGATGATCCAATTGGCATTTGTGGTGGTCCGGTAATGTTAGCAATTGGATTTGGAAAACTCTGCATTTAAAGTAAAGAAAAAAATGCATTTGTTTCATTTCGGATTTTCTTTTCTTTAAATATATTTTAAAATATTTCATTTCGGATTTTCTTTTCTTTAAATATATTTTAAAATATAATTTCTAAAGTGATTAGTATTATGTTTTTAGTAATTAGTCCAAATGTATTTACTCCAAATACATCAATAATATTCATTTAAATTTTCGAAATTCGTAAATCTATATTAGTACTAAAAACATTACCAACCTTGTAATCATTTGTGATGTTCGCTGTAAAACTTGCCTGGCCTACCCATACATCGTTCTCATTATTAAATTCAGCGCCTGCGCTAACGTAGTAATCCTATGTGAAATAGAAAATGTAAAATCCTAATATATAATAGACCATGTGCGCACTTCTCTCTCTCTCTCTCTCTCTCTCTCCCCCCCCCCTCTCTCTCTCTCTCTCTGTCTGTCCGCAAAATATTTTCGCCGGATATCACGCCAGAATCGGCAGCGATATATGGATACCTTTATACGGACTTTTGTTGAAAATAATATGTTAGATGTTTTAAAAGAATAACCACAATTTAATTTAAAGAAGAAAAATAAAAAATAAAGGCGTATTCGAATGTAGAGAAACAGTTTTAATTATGCAACAGTAAAAGCGTTTATAGTTGTGAAAAAGAATGCATAAAACAGTGACGTCACTAATGTTTATACATTGACTAATCTGCCGTGTTTAGAATAAAAAGAAATGAAATATTTCATTCAAATTTGATTTAGATCTACGTACGCTATAAAATGTATACAATACAATTTTGCTCGGGCTAAACTTAAAAAAAATTCTATTAGGATTCTAGATCTAGAGATTCTAGATCTAGATCTAGATGATCTAGATCTACGGAAAAACTACACTTACACAGATGTAGACCCTACCTAGATCTAGAATCTACTCAAATAATACATATCTATACTAAAGTATTTCAGGCCTTAATTACTTTATTGAAATCTTTGTTTATCTATGCAATTTGCTAATCTCTATAAAATATGAAGCAAAGTTGTCGGTGCCCGACAGGGTACTTCCCGGCGCCGCAGCGCTTCAATTTTGGCAGGATCTTGCCTTGGGGCGACAGAACACGGTGGGCCGGTGCCGGTTGGCCTAAAGGTCTGCGATGAGGGGGTCAAAACAGACCTCGACTAACCGGCGCCTTATATGAGCTATAAGTCGAAAAAAATGTGTCCACGTAGGAACCTCTTCATAACCCCTGAGGTCGTAGACCTACCCTCGTGCGAATTAATTAAGCATTCAAATTATCAATGTTTTTGAAAGCCTAAGCGAAGCTGGGAAGCATGCCTAGTTAGAAAATAGCGGACAATGCTATACTTACGTCTAGTTACACAGCGGTAGGTTTTTCGGAGTAATACGAGGAATGTACATTAAAGAAGATAGTTTATATATATATATTAGGTCCCTTTTGGGTATCATGGGGGAAGGGTGAGGTGGAGGTGGAGGTGGAGCAAAGGATATACAGGAAAATACTCCCCCACCTGGGGGACCGACAGGAACAACGAGATATAGTAAAATACTCACCCACCAGGGTGAGGTGGCGCAGCCGCAGGTACAACGACACATAGTAAAATACTCCCTGGGGGAGGTGGAGGGACAACTGGATATAGTAAAATAATCCCCCACCTGAGGGAGCAGGGTAAAGGGTGAAGGGTGAGGGTTAGACATGTTATATAGTAAAATACTCCCCCACCTGGGGGAGCAGGTGGGTGAGGGTGGTGGAACAGCAGGAACAATGAGATATAGTAAAATACTATGGTGGGGGAGTAGGTCAGTAGGTTACCACCGGTGACATTGTGACGTAATCAGTGACCTAGTTACGTAATTTTAATGAGTTTTAATGAGTTTTTTAATTAGTTTGATTTTAATTTCTTAAATTTTTATTAACTAGTTACTTAATTTGATTATTTGTTTGATTTTAATTAATTTGATTTTAATTTTATAATTTTAATTTTATTTTTTTTTATATTTTGTTTGTTTATTTTTTTAATTAGTTTAATTATATTTTTTTAAATTTAAATTTGATTTTTAATTAGCTTGATTTTAATTTTAATTAATTTGATTTTAACTTTTTAAGTTTTTAAATTTGATTTTTTAATTTTAATTTTTAATTTTAATTAATTTTTATTAACTAGTTACGTTATTTGATTTTAATTTTTAAAATTTTAAAATTTTAAATTTTATTTTTTAATTTTAATTAATTTGATTTTAATTACTTTGTATTTTGTTTGTTTATTTTTAATTAGTTTAATTTTTTAAATTTTAATTTTGTAATTTTAATTTATTATTATTTTTTAAATTTTTATTAACTAGTTACGTTAAAATTATTGTTTCCACGTCTTACGAACCGAGACAAGCTGACCCCACACTTTACACTAAGAGTTATTCGCACAGTGTCATAGATTTTTTGATCCAGTAAAGAAATAATGTTGATCGACCCGCGTCGACCTCGTGTGTTGCGCGCCACACTTAACGAAGGCTCTAGAGCTTTTTTCATTACCTTGTTTTTAAGTTTTCTTTTTACTAGACTTATATTTATTTTTTATTTTTTCATCATCTCTTAACTTTAAGGTTCTATAACTCTATATATTTAAATACATTTTTTGATTCAACCGAGTTTACTTTCCCTAACTTTCCCTAACGTAAGTACATGTAAAGGCGGGTTTCCCATAGATATGTAATGAATTAGGTCTTTTTGACTATGACTTTCCAGGTGTTGACATGATACTCTTTTTTGAGATACACGTACACATTTTCACACACACACACACACACACACACACACACACACACACACACACACACACGAAATTCATACTAGGTCGGTAAAGGCGGAGAGAACTCATAGGTGACAACAAAAGCGACCCTTATTTTATTTACATGAAAGAGTGTTTTCCAAAAAGTGTCACCATGCCACTGTCATTTTCGCAGCGGGGTTTATTTTAAGCGCACCCCTTGCGCTCTTGTTTACATTTTAAAAGACGTGTCGCGTGTCGTCCCCACGTGTCTTCCCTAATAGAGAAACGAGAGGAAAGACAACTGTTCTAAAATTAGAACAACCTTGTTTACAACCACGAGTAACGTCCCTTGTGAAAAAAATTCTCGTCAGAATCCTTAACTAATCATTCAATTTCTTTAACAAGTTAAAAAATAATTTAGGAAGACAATGGTTAACAACATTAGACGCCACCGTTTTTGTTTTCTGCGACGTCAAGGCACAATCCACTTTTGTATTTTATGTCTCAAGTAGAGGGGTGGAATATATTTTCTTTGTAAGCGTTTTGTAAACAATGGCTAGAGGAGGCGATTACTAAGTAAGAGAGGAGAGAACGTGGTTTGCATCGCGATATTTGAAAACATGGCGATGTTTAAGCTATGCTTACAGACCTCAACCAAAAAAGGCAATGAACCTAGAAGGAAGACGAATATATATCTTACTCTTGCAGCAGATTACCTTCCCATGTTCGCTTTAGTATTACAGTTTTCATCAAACTTCTTTTTGACTTGAACGTCTTTAATTTAAGAAGGTTTACTTATACATAATACATTACGTCTAATTACAATTTTTATTTTTACCACTCAATGTATTTTGTTTTTCTATATCTTGCATTGTCGTCTTTATTTTTGATGACCTTAGTAAAAATTTGCTTTAGATTATAAACTTCAAGTTTTAAAAATCAACAACTTTATAGTACGACGTGTCAAATGACACGTTTAAAATGTCTACATTTAAATTTCACCAAAATAATGACGTAAAAACTAAATATGATATGACGTTAGCATACCTAGCATTCAATCAAATCAATCTAAAGTACAAATCAATAATTTTGATTGATTAAGGGGCTGGGTGAGTTATTTTTATCACTATTCGCCCTTCCCCTTCCCTTTGTCCGCAACCCCGTCCCCCTTCTCCCATCCCCTAAGCTCATTACCAACCGGTAGATAAACAAACCGTACCACTACTCACACTATTCCCTTGTGCAGACAAAGGATGTATGACAAAGTAACAAACCTACATTTATCTACATTCAATTAATGTCACAACCCCTAGACACGACTCCAACAGACTGGGATACATAACTTGTAGGCACCACTCCTCAATGAATACCGCATGCGCCCTAGCCTTTGTTCGCAACCCCCGCTCCCATCCCTAAACAAATTAACAACCGATATCCTTTGCTCCACCTCCACCTCCACTTCACCCTTCCCCCATGATACCTAAAAGGGACCTAATATACTACTTATATATATATATATATATATATATATATATATATATATATATATATATATATATATATATATATATATACACGTAAAGTGATAGGGGGGTGTCAGGGAAAGAATTGTGTTGTCCTCGGGAAAATTCCGGAACAATGTTTTAACTGACCAGAGGCCATATTTCCTTATATAAACATAGTACTGTTTTTTTTGTAAATAAAAATACAAAAATCTGGACGTACAAACCCAATAATAACTCCCGTGGTCGTAGAAATACCCGCGGGGGTCACTTTACAGTAGGCGTTATCTTCGTGAAAATTCCGGAAGGGCTTTAGAAGTGACCGGTCCGAAATCCCTATATAAACATTCTTAATTTGGTGAAAAACGATAAAACAATGTTTTGGAACTTATTCTCTGTACATCTGGCACGTTTTTTTGCATAGAGCTGAGTAAATGAATTGGCCTTATGGATAAACTATCGGCCTGCCTCTGCTAGCACGGTGAGGGCTAAAAAGTGAACACGAGTGAAATTCTCCTTATATGAGCTTAATAAAAAAAAAATTGCCGAACGATCCCCCTGATATTTTGTGAGGTCATAGAGCGACCCTGGAGTGTAACAAAAACACTTTATTCCCATAGGAATAACATTATGGTCCTAAAATTTGTCCAGATGCTGTATTTTCTTATATAAGCATAACAACTGTTTGTGAAAAAAAGCAAACAAAGACTACGGCAGGGAGGTAACTTTTTAAAATAAATATTTTTCAAACAATTTTATACTATAATTAACACAAACAGAAAATGATAATGTATATTATTTACTTCAGTAATTTTTAGTTTAATAATTAGGATATGTATCCTAATTAAATTGTAGTAAATTGTAGTAATTAATTTTGAAAGTTAATGAAATGTAACTTACCCCCCCTGTCAATTACCCCCCTGTCAATTACCCCCCGCCCAGTAGGACATTACCCCCCCCCCCCCCCGGACAGGGTTAGAGTTAGGGTTAGGGCTAGGTTTAGGGTTAGGTTTAGGGCTAGGGTTAGGGTTAGGGTTAGGGTTAAGATTAGGGTTAGGGTTAGGGTTAGGGTTAGGGTCAGGGTTGTGTCTAGCATTGGTTTTGGTTTTGTGTGAAGTTTTAGGCTAAGGTGGATGCTTAGGTTTTTCTTAAGGTTTGGATTAAAGTAGTATATAGGTATAAAATTCTAGTTAGAGTTAGGATTTTAACTTGAGAGGGGGGGGGGGGGGTAATTCCCCAGGGGGTAATTGACAGGGGGGTAATTGACAGGGGGGTAATTGCTCCGGGGGGGGGGGGGTAAATACGGGGGGGGAAATGTCCGGGGGGAAATATCCAGGGGGGTAATGTCCTGTAGCCTGTTCTAATTACCTTTCAAGTAATAAATTTTGAACATTCCAGCAATTCTCTAAAATTACCATTACTGTTTCTAAACTTAAGTTTTGACCCCCTCATCGTAGACTTTTCGGCCAACCAGCCTCAGTGTTCTGTCGCCCCAAGGCAAGATCCTGCCAAATTTGAAGCGCCTGCGGCGCCGGGAAGTGCCCTATCGGGCACCCGTCAACTTAGCTTTATATATTATAGAGATTAGCAAATTGCATAGATAAACAAAGATTTCAATAAAGTAATTAAGGCCTGAAATACTTTAGTATAGAAATTTATTATTAGAATAGATTCTAGATCTCGGTAGAGTCTACATCTGTGTAAGTCTAGTTTTTCCGTAGATCTAGATCATCTAGATCTAGAATCTCTAGATCTAGATGATATAGAATCTCTAGATCTAGATGATCTAGAATCTCTAGATCTCTAGATGATCTAGAATCTCTAGATCTAGATGATATAGAATATCTAGATCTAGAATCTCTAGATCTAGATTATCTAGAATCTTTAGATCTAGATGATCTAGAATCTCTAGATCTAGATGATCTAGAATACCTAGATATAAAATCTCTAGATCTAGATGATCTAGAATCTCTAGATCTAGAATCTAGATAGATGAAATAATGTGTTTAAGTTTAGGAAATAATTTGTTTAAGTTTAGGCCGAGAAAATCGTATTGTATACATTTCATAGCGTACATAGCTCTAAATCATATTTGAATGAAATAGTTCATTTCTTTTTATTCTTAACTCGAAAGATGACGTCATCAGTTTCGTGCTCTTTTTTTTAGTATAAACAATAAGCGACGTCATTGTTAAATGCGTTCTTGTCCCAAGTTTAAACACTTTTCCGGTTGCATAAATAAAATTGTTTTTCTACATTCGAATATGCCTTTATTTTTTATTTTTCTTCTTTAAATAAAATTGTGGTTATACATTTAAAACATCTAACATATTATTTTCAACAAAAGTCCGTATAAAGTTCTTCATATATCGCTGCAGTTTCTGATGTGATGTCCGGCATAATATTTTGCGGACAGACAGACAGACAGAGAGAGAGAGAGAGAGAGAGAGAGAGAGAGATGTGCGCACGGGGTCTTTTATATATTAGGATAGTATGTTTTAATTTAAGTGTCATCTATCTATGATTCCATAATTGAGTCGGTTATAGGCTTTTACAACTCAGTGTGTGGGGAGAAGGGTCATCGCTGTACCTTCCTACCTCCAGTATGCTTGTAGGTTATCAAAACAAAATGTCGTTATCTTGTAAACATCATGTATATCGTACATTTTCTCTTCTGTGCTCGCTTTTATGCAACAGATCTTTATTGTTGTAAATTACACATTATCAAAATTTTAGAATTGGTAGATTTTAGCTGTTAAGGGCTTGATTTATTTGTGAATTGATGTTGGTTCATGAAAAACAATTTCATTCAGGCATTAAAAAGAGTTTATAGTAGTAGTGGAGGTAGGACAAAATGGTTACTTTTATGCCAATAGTGGTCATGCCATTCATTTGTCTGGAGCCAATATGTAGGGAGTCATTTTGTCGGTAGCCAATATGTCGGGAGCCCATTTGTCGGGAGCCAATATGTCGGGAGCCCATTTGTCGGTAGCCAATATGTCATGAGCCCATTTGTCGGGAGTCCATTTGTCGGTAGCCAATATGTAATGAGCCCATTTGTCGGGAGCCCATTTTTTGAGAGCCCTTATGTCGGGAGCCAATATGTCGTGAGCCACTTTGTCGGGAGCCAGTATGTCCTGAGCCTACTTGTCGGGAGCCAATATGTCGAGAGTCCATTTGTCAGTAGCCTAAATGTCGGGAGCTCATTTGTCGGGAGCCTTTATGTCGCGAGTCAATATAACGGGAGCCCATTTGACGGGAGCCAATAAGTCGGGGCCCTTTTGACGGGGCTATTTTGACTGGGTCGTTTTGTCGGGGGTCGATTTGACGGGGTGATATTAACGGGACCGTTTTGACGGGGCCGATTTATCCCGGGCCGTTTTGACAGGGCACCTTTATATATATATATATATATATATATATATATATATATATATATATATATATATATATATATATATATATACACGTGAAATCGACTATGGTTAAATTGAGGCATTTAATCGTTCAATATATCGAATCAGTTGAGTCAGCTTGCGCCCCGGCAGGGTGCGATTGGGGTAAACGATATGGCGCCTTCCTTCGTCTAAGCAGTGCGAAAGCCTATGCATAAGATTGGGATATAGAGTGTCCTATAAACATAATCACGCGTGTTAACCGGCAGGTTACGATTTAGCGCCCTGCGATTTCCCTATCTTTCACACAAAAGCTTTTAAGCAACAGCGTATGTTAGGTACTGTAGAACATCTGTCAAGGTGCACGAAAACGTAGTTTTGGAATACAAAGTCATTGCTTTTTGGTCGGATTTTGGGTCCCTTCCCGGCGCCCGGTGACAAACTTTCAATTTGGTGCTCTTTCAATTTTCAATTTGCACTGCACCCCCATCTCATACTTTCGATTTGCAACCCCCCCCCCCCCCCCGCTACGCCTTTGCATGTTAGTTTCACCCCTGGCAGATATAAAGACAGACATTGCAAAATTAAGTATTTCCGACTCAATGAGTATAAAGTGTTGAGAAGGGCCCAAATTTTTTTTTTCGGTGTGGCCCTTTTTGTCTGTCTTGATGTCTGAGACTGTCTGTAAACATATATAGGTATTATATCGAATTTATAATTCTGTATCAACTTTTGAACGATTTCTGGTAAGTGGAAGTGGTACTTATTCTTCTTTTCGGTTATGAAACAAACAGCCGTCTTGAGTCCGGATTAAGAACTCGTGATTTGCGGGTTAGCTAGACCATGACTCCTATATTAGTTCTTTGCTAATTAAGCACCATCAACACCGCCAACCACATACTACCAATCCTATTTATCTTTATAGTATAGAAGATACACACACATACACACACACATGCACACACACACACACATATATGTTTATATATATATATATATATATATATATATATATATATATATATATATATACAGGTTTTATATTTTATGATTAGATAATACATAACAACTGTACAGTGAAAGAAAAAGTTTCAATTTTTAAAAAAAAAGTATCTTTCATGTTATAATTTCCTTTAAATTTAACTACACTAAATTTTATATATATTATTATATATATTATTATATATATATATATATATATATATATATATATATATATATATAGATATATAGATATATATATATATATATGTATGCATTGATTTTTCATCTATCGTGGCTATGCTATTTTACCTGGTTGACAGTTTGACTGTTTTCTACCATGACAGCTTCGTATAAAATTGTAATTGTGCTGTCTGTAAGAGTGGAAGCGGAACCTGGATTATTGGTTACCGTTCCCAACTGTATTATTGCCCGATCATTCTGAAAATAAACAGTCTTTAAGTTTCGAAATCTTAAAGCTCTTTTAACATAAAAATACATTGAAAAAACAGTAATGTTTTTAATTATTTAGTTCAGCTTAATTTTTTCTTTGAGTCCGGATTTTGAACTCGCCGTCTATACTAGTTTTTTGCTAAGTTATCCTATAATTATAGCTTATCAACTATTCGTAGCTCAGTGTGCACTTATTTGTTCTCAACTAGATAGGCCTATATGTAAGCCCTGCTAGGGGGGGGATACCTTAAAATCTATCCTACTAGGCTTATCTAACTAACTACCGTCTAGACAAAATAAAACACTCAAGACATACAAAACAAACAGAACTCAACGAAACAAAACTGTTTATATATACTACAAAACATTACGTTCGACCATTTGCTGGTGTTGCGCCGACTTATGATGTCTAGGATGGTCCAGGCCCTGACACACAGAAACCTCCCTTCATCCATTCTCGACATCCAAAAGTCCACACCAAACAAAACACTACGTACAACCACTACGTACAATACATTACGTAGAGGACATTACGTCGTACAAAACAATATATACAAAACAAACTTTTTACAAACAAAACAATTCATTTATAACAAAACACCCAGCCAAGTCGCACAAGCAACCTCACTGGAAAGGGGGGGGGGAAGAGAAAAAGAAAAGGAAAACATAAGAAAAATGCATGGTAATGGCAGATATATACATAAATATATACACAAGTTCAAAATGCTACCTACTACTACTATCTAGCAAAAGCCTCGAGTAAAACTAATCCTTACTATACAATTCTAAAAGCAATTCTCAAAAACAACTAACCACTGTCTAAAGAAGAACTAGCAACTTAAAAATAACGTGTAAACAAATTCATTGTAGAACCAATCTTTCCTACACAAGGAGCAGCCCGAAGCCATTGGTCTACATAAACAATATCCATATTGATAACATTAAAGTTAACACACTCCGCTAAGGCCCCAATGAAGGCAGACACAAAGCAAGCGATACTCAACATGACGTTGCACGAAACAGCACACACATTAATTTTAAACAACCTAAAACTCGAGGCAACTAAAATATAGTAATCTAATTACTGTCTAAAACAAATGACTATTGACTAAGCCAATCCTAGTCAATAACAACACATCATAAAACAATCAAGTAAATGCACACACGCATTCACACTAGTTTAGGAAAACACTCCTAAACACACTGGCCTAAACCACGTGGTCCGAAACACACGCCACGGGTTTAGAAAACACCACAAATACTTTTTAAAAAATAGCAAAATAACACACCACGTGCATACCAGACATGCCGATGCTCACTATCTCGTTTTAGACGAAAATGAAAGAAAACGAGAAACATCGGCAGTCTCATTCATACAAATCACTTAAAGATAAAGTATAAAAAAAAAAAATACCTCCACGCGTGAGGTGCGCCACGCGCCCACAGAAACCTGACCCGACCTACATCTCGCCGCGGGTCAAAAAAAGGAAGAAAATTGTCCGAGCGGTCAATTTATACTGACCGCTTCGGACGGAAGGGGACCCCGTGGCCGCTCCCCATTGGACCACCATGCACTCCCAGATTCGCAACAAATAAAATAATACAAAATAATCCATTCACCCGCTCACATATAGATCAAATGAAAAGCAATTTCACTTACATATGTTGAATTATCCAAAGACTCTAGAACTGGCGTTGAATTTCCACTGACTACCAAACTACTACCCACCGTGACTCGAACATTGCAGAGCATCATCACAATGTAATTGGAATCGGGAGTAAACAATTCGACCTAGAAATGAAAATAGATATGTAGACACAAAATGAACTAAAACTCAAAAGGCAATCGATTTCACGTTTGGGTATGAACGGTGCATACTACACCAAAATTGTTTGAGCAGTTTTTCATTTACCACGATACGTGACGCAAGTTTTAGAATTCATCTTGTAATTCATCGGGAATGCTGGCAACATCCAGGGAAACAGAGAATGGGTAACTTGTCAATGCAGATTCTTCTTCTTTAAGCCCAGGGAAAATAACGCCAATTCGATTTCAAGAGATTCAAGATGCCCAGAATCGTCTTTCTAATTTTTATTTATCTCACAATCAGATTCATCTACCACACTGCAGAGTATCTCAAATATGGCAATATCTCCAATATATATATTTCTTTTTGCCAAATTTGCAGCTTTGATAAAAATGCCAAGAGATTATCATGAAAAGAGAAAATATTCGTTCATTTTCAGGTTAAGCTTGTCTGCTAGGTATGCTACTCTATCCAAACACTCTTTGTCGTTAAAGTATATCAAAAGGTCTTGTTTCCCTTGCACTTCCAAAAACAACTTGATTTTATCTTTCAATTAAAAAACACGATTCAGATTTCCTTTTGAAAGCCAGCGTAGTGTAGAAACTCGTGATCTTTATTCTTGTCTTTGCACAGTTCTTTAAATAGACGTGTGTTTAGGGCTCCAGATATTACGACTTTTATTAGCAATGAAGTCAGAAGAATCTTGCAGACGAGGGCATACCGGTGAATCATGCAGTGGATTTGCCTTCATTAGAGAGCTAAATCTTTTACTTTATTTTTTGAAAGCCCGATTTTTACCCAAACATGACGCACCATCCGTACAAACCCCACAGCCATTTTCCATTTTAATCATCCAGTTTCAAAAAACGTATTTATTTTCTCCATGATATCCTCACAAAATAGCAACTATTCTTTGCTATCATCTGAATGAATATATTTCATAAAGACAAACAACTGGTAACATGAACTCACGTCTGCTGATTCATCAAGTTGAAAATCAAACAATGGTGGAGGTTTGATTTCATTCAAAATTAGTTTTTTAACATCTACAGACATGTCTGCTCTGTGCCACTGTATTATTAGAGATAGATATTTGTTGCATCTTTACTGCACTGGAATCCCCAAGAATTAATTTCACCACCCTCAACATGCAGGGTTTGATGAGATTTTCTCCTATTGTCTGAGGTTTTTTGCTTTGCAATTTCTAATGCGACTTCATATGGTACTTGCTCTAAGTTCGATCAAGCCTCTGATGTTTGCAACTAGCTTCATGCCGACGAAAGAACTCCATATCTTTTTTGGTGTGTTCCAAATGACTCTTTTCAAAATGCCGTTTTAGCTCTGAAAGCTTCTTAGACTTCTGACTAAGAACAACTTTGCAAAGTACGCATTGTTTATTTTTTTTTATTCCATGTCCATTGTGATGTTAATTAAAGCCGAATTTCAGATAGTCTTCTAAATATTTACGCTTTATTTCATTGCTAGGGTTTAGTCTTCCAGTTGGCGACCCCCCAGAAAGCACTTACTTTGGGAACCCATGGTGTAGGCTATGGATATGGGAAAGTTGTTATTTAATTCTTGTAAAGTGGTAAAGTCCACATTTAGAACATTATTTTGTACATATTTCAGGTACAGGATATAATTACTATTTTATTTCCTAGTGCTGTGGTGTATTTCCAGGCCACTGATAATATAGATGTGTTGCTAAATAGATTTAGAAATTTATTTCAAAGTGTTATCAATAAATTGCTAAATCTATTTAGTGTTCAGTATTTTCGACACCATGATGCACCTCCACATGTGAAAATGTGATCATATTTGAGATTTAGTGAGTCAAATAAAAGGCTTTTATATTAAAGGGAAGCCACCCAGTTAGTGGAAATCAGAAGAAATAGTATTTTTCATTTTAAAAGGTATACGGTTGTCCTTCATGAAACGCATCAGAGATGGTCTGCTTCACGATAGCACATGGAAACATCTGGAAAGGATGGCCGACCCAGCCGAGGACAGAATACTACGGAAATAAGTGTAGGCTGTCTGTCATAGCGTAGATATATAGAGAACTAGCTGCATACCCGTGCTCCGCCACGGTAAATCTTTTTTAAATGTACAAACTTGGGAACAGAACAAAACAAACAAAAACACAACACAACCACAACACAACCACAACACAACCACAACACAACCACAACACAACCACAACACAACCACAACACAACCACAACACAACCACAACACAACCACAACACAACCACAACACAACCACAACACAACCACAGCACAACCACAACACAACCACAGCACAACCACAACATAAGAATCACCACCGAACAACACGCTTTCCTAGGCGTCCGCGCCCAAAGAGAGACTTTCCAGCATAAAAAACAAACAAAAACACAACACAACCACAAACAAAACACAACCACAACACAACCACAACCACAAAACAACCACAAAACAACCACAAAACCACAACACAACCACAACACAACAACAACACAACAACAACACAACCACAACACAACAACAACACAACCACAGCACAACCACAACACAACCACAGCACAACCACAACACAACCACAACATAAGAATCACCACCGAACAACACGCTTTCCTAGGCGTCCGCGCCCAAAGAGAGCCTTTCCAGCATAAAAAAACAAACAAAAACACAACACAACCACAAACAAAACACAACCACAACCACAAAACAACCACAAAACAACCACAACACAACAATAATTAGACTAGACCAGTAGAGGTTACTAAGGACGGTGCGAACTTGACGGTAGACGATTTGGTGCGAGAGTATTGTGCGCGTGTTTAATAAAATATTTGTGGCGTGAGTGTGATGTGAGCATGACGCGACAATGTACCGATGACGTAAGACGCAGCAGTGAAGTTAGTTGGGGGTTAGCTATAGTAGAAGACTGACGTATTCTTTGATGTTGTGCAAATGATCTATAAGCGTGTGTTAATAAAGTTCATGTTATTTCATAAACGAAGCTGTTGACATTGTTAATTAGTGTCTGCGGAAAATAAGAGTGATTCCCGTCCTCCTCACGAGTATAATAGTTGCCGTATGAATAGTAGTAGATCAGAACATATAGAGAAAATATACATAAACCCCCATCACACTGTCCATACCCCAGTACAAGGTTGACGGGCTGTAACGATATAGGTTATCGAGCGAGCCACCGGCTTCTTTTAGGTGTGGTCTGCACTGTTTATTATACAGAGAGGTACAATTTCTCTTTGCATACAACGTACAGTCGGCAACAGTTCATATAAACAACTAATATGTTCTTACTTGGATATCTGTCGGTGTTGACGGGAAGAGAATATCAAGTTTGAACTGAATTCTGTGGCCCAATTTTATCTCTGTAACGTTTTCGTTGGCACCGTACTTGCTTAATGTAAAGGTAACGTTGTTAGGTAGAGAAACAGCCTGCAGAAAAAAATGTTTTATAAAATAGAGATATTAAAGCGTATAAAGTAGTAATTTAATTTATTTTTTTAATATCTTATTATTTATATATCAAAAATATAAGCCGCCAGTGTCAGTCATCGGTATTGGCACATTGCCTTCGTCAAAGCTGGAGTATGTGGTCATCCATGTGGACATCTATCCTTTGTTTGGTGGCGGTTTAAATTACGTTTCTTATAATGCCCCAGTGAGGCAAAACGAACCCGATCCGTTCAGGCGTTTGAATTTCTATACAGGACACACAAAAATACTTTGATTTTTATATACATAGAAGATACATGTTAGAATAAAAATACAAGCATTATTAATTTTAGTGGCTAATTCGCACCTTCTAACGGCGTTTATGATCGCATCGCACCAAATGTAAAAGCCGAAGGAAATAAGATGCCGAAAAGAAGAATTTGCATAAAAAACGTTTTAATATCAAGCTTTTATGTACTAATGCACTAAAAGGTAGAAAATAAATTATAGACTACTATTTAAATAACTATAAAGAAAAGCGTGGGTCTCTTCCTAAACATTAGTAAAGGTATCCAATAGATACTAAAGAGACACACGCTTTTCTTTATAGTTCTTTAAATAGTAGTATATAATTTATTTTCTACTTTTTAATGCATTAGTAGCCTACATAAAAGCTTGTTATTAAAACGTTTATTGTGATTTTTTTGTTTACTCTTTCGCTTAACGTGAAGAAAATATTAGATAATCGCACTTTGCTAAAACATATTAACGGGATCAATGTCAAATAATAGAAATCAGAAATAGAAAGACTTGACAAGTCAACTTCTTGCTATATGGAACATATAAGAGAAAAACGAAATGTACTGTGTGCTACTTAATCTAAACTCACTCTTTTTTGTCTGTGATGCGACTTCTCCCTTGCACTAAGGGGCAAGTCCATGATTTCGTCGTACCCTTCTTCTGAGTAGCCATTGTTAATTTGACTCATGTAGTTATTAACAACTGGGCCATGCCAGTTATTCCCCGTTGTTATGATCAGTGTCATTGTATCGTAGACAACGCCGTCATCACTTGCCCCAATTTTCAACTCATACCTGTATGCGAGACAAATTGTGATTTTAAAAGTTGTGTGTATTACTATTATTAGACAACAACGCTTTACTAGACAGATGGACTAAATACTTTTATCGCTAAAAGAAAATATAAGCTTAATGTGATCCACACCATTCATGTGTTCCCATTTGACACGTGTGTTATAACGTTGTACCTTATTTTATAATAAAACTAGGCATACTGCCTAGCTTCGCTTAGGTTTTTAAATAACATTTGAGAATTTGAATACTTAATTATTTAGCGATGGATTTGGTGTTGAGTGCTTTAATTTAAACAGTAATGCTAACTTTAGAAAAAAAATGTTTTAGTTTGTCATTTAAATACCGTTCTCAAAAAATATCGGAAAGTACGCAATGTATAAGTAAAATGGAATTAGAACTACACAGCTTCCATGAACAGTACATCTCATAGTTTTTATTACATTGCGTTTTGAAATTTATTTATTTATTTAATTGGGATACGTAACTAAATTAACAACTTAATTTTGTACTAAAACAAATGCTATACTTCGTCATTTTCTGTTTCTGTTTAAAATGGTATACAATTATTTGAAAAATAATAATTTAAAAAACGTTACCTCCCTTGAAAACTGAACGTATGACGTATGTCTTTGTTTTTGTTTTACAAACAGTTGCTATGCTTATATAAGAGATTATGGTATATGAACATATTTAACAACTATAATGGCTGTTTCCGACGGGATTAAAGTTTTTTTGTTAGCCTCCAGGGTCGGTCTGCGACGTCACATAATATTAAGGGGATCGTTCGTCAATTTATTTATATATATATATCTCATATAAGGAGAATTTCACTCAAGATCATCTTTTAGCCCTCGTCGAGGGCTTTGAGTCTGACCAACAGTTTTTCCATACGGCCTAGTCATCTATAGTAGTGTATGCAAAAAATTAGCCAGATATACTGAGCTTAAGTACCCTAAAGTCTGCGTTGAAATGACCCTCTGTTTTTCCCATAAAATACAAAGATTATATAGGGAAATACAACTGGTCAGTTTTGACCGCTTTACAAAGTTTTCCCAGATATGCCGAGTTTTTTGTGACACCCCTAGGTGTTCTTCTACCACCTCACAAAATATCAAGGGGGGTCGTCGTCGGAAATTTTTTTTCGTAATATAGCTCATATAAAGAGAATTTCACTCGCGGTCTCTTTTTAGCCCTCGTCGAGGGCTTTGAGTGTAACCGACAGTTTTCCCTAAAGGTCAAGCCATTGACCTAGGAGCATGCCAAAACTGAGCCAGATGTTAAGAGGGTAAGTGCCATAAAATCCGTTTTGAAATGACCCTCTGTTTTCCCCATAAAATACAAAGATTACATAGGGAAATACGACTGGTCAGTTTTGACCCATTTCCCGATTTTTCCCGGACATGGCGAGTTTTTTGTGACACCCCAAGGCGTTCTCCTACCACCTCACAAAATATCAAGGGGGTCGTCGGAGGAATTTTTTTTTCGTAATAGAGCTCATATAAAGAGAATTTCACTCGCGGTCACTTTTTAGCCCTCGTCGAGGGCTTTGAGTGTAACCGACAGTTTTCCCTAAAGGTCAAGCCATTGACCTAGGAGCATGCAAAAAATTAGCCAGATATACTGAGCTTAAGTATCCTAAAGTCTGCGTTGAAATGACCCTCTGTTTTTTCCATAAAATACAAAGATTATATAGGGAAATACAACTGGTCAGTTTTGACCCCTTTACGAAGTTTTCCCAGATATGCCGAGTTTTTTTTGACACCCCAAGGTGTTCTCCTACCACCTCACAAAATTTCAAGGGGGGTCGTCGGAGGAATTTTTTTTTCGTAATAGAGCTCATATAAAGAGAATTTCACTCGCGGTCATTTTTAGCCCTCGTCGAGGGCTTTGAGTGTAACCGACAGTTTTCCCTAAAGGTCAAGCCATTTACCTATAAGCATGCCAAAACTGAGCCAGATGTAAAGAGGGTAAGTGCCATAAAATCCGTTTTGAAATGACCCTCTGTTTTCCCCATAAAATACAAAGATTATATAGGGAAATACGACTGGTCAGTTTTGACCCATTTCCCGATTTTTCCCGGACATGGCGAGTTTTTTGTGACACCCCAAGGCGTTCTCCTACCACCTCACAAAATATCAAGGGGGGTCGTCGTCGGAATTTTTTTTTCGTAATAGAGCTCATATAAAGAGAATTTCACTCGCGGTCACTTTTTAGCCCTCGTCGAGGGCTTTGAGTGTAACCGACAGGTTTCCCTAAAGGTCAAGCCATTGACCTAGGAGCATGCAAAAAATTAGCCAGATATACTGAGCTTAAGTATCCTAAAGTCTGCGTTGAAATGACCCTCTGTTTTTTCCATAAAATACAAAGATTATATAGGGAAATACAACTGGTCAGTTTTGACCCCTTTACGAAGTTTTCCCAGATATGCCGAGTTTTTTGTGACACCCCAAGGTGTTCTCCTACCACCTCACAAAATTTCAAGGGGGGTCGTCGTCGGAATTTTTTTTTCGTAATAAAGCTCATATAAAGAGAATTTCACTCGAGGTCACTTTTTAGCCCTCGTCGAGGGCTTTGAGTGTAACCGACAGTTTTCCCTAAAGGTCAAGCCATTGACCTAGGAGCATGCAAAAAATTAGCCAGATATACTGAGCTTAAGTATCCTAAAGTCTGCGTTGAAATGACCCTCTGTTTTTCCCATAAAATACAAAGATTATATAGGGAAATACAACTGGTCAGTTTTAACCCCTTTACGAAGTTTTCCCAGATATGCCGAGTTTTTTTTTGACACCCCAAGGTGTTCTCCTACCACCTCACAAAATTTCAAGGGGGGTCGTCGGAGGAATTTTTTTTTCGTAATAGAGCTCATATAAAGAGAATTTCACTCGCGGTCACTTTTTAGCCCTCGTCGAGGGCTTTGAGTGTAACCGACAGTTTTCCCTAAAGGTCAAGCCATTTACCTATAAGCTTGCCAAAAATGAGCCAGATGTAAAGAGGGTAAGTGCCATAAAATCCGTTTTGAAATGACCCTCTGTTTTCCCCATAAAATACAAAGATTATATTGGGAAATACGACTGGTCAGTTTTGACCCATTTCCCGATTTTTCCCGGACATGGCGAGTTTTTTGTGACACCCCAAGGCGTTCTCCTACCACCTCACAAAATATCAAGGGGGGTCGTCGTCGGAAATTTTTTTTCGTAATAGAGCTCATATAAAGAGAATTTCACTCGCGGTCACTTTTTAGCCCTCGTCGAGGGCTTTGAGTGTAACCGACAGTTTTCCCTAAAGGTCAAGCCATTGACCTAGGAGCATGCAAAAAATTAGCCAGATATACTGAGCTTAAGTATCCTAAAGTCTGCGTTGAAATGACCCTCTGTTTTTTTCCATAAAATACAAAGATTATATAGGGAAATACAACTGGTCAGTTTTGACCCCTTTACGAAGTTTTCCCAGATATGCCGAGTTTTTTGTGACACCCCAAGGTGTTCTCCTACCACCTCACAAAATTTCAAGGGGGGTCGTCGTCGGAATTTTTTTTTCGTAATAAAGCTCATATAAAGAGAATTTCACTCGAGGTCACTTTTTAGCCCTCGTCGAGGGCTTTGAGTGTAACCGACAGTTTTCCCTAAAGGTCAAGCCATTGACCTAGGAGCATGCAAAAAATTAGCCAGATATACTGAGCTTAAGTATCCTAAAGTCTGCGTTGAAATGACCCTCTGTTTTTCCCATAAAATACAAAGATTATATAGGGAAATACAACTGGTGAGTTTTAACCCCTTTACGAAGTTTTCCCAGATATGCCGAGTTTTTTTTGACACCCCAATGTGTTCTCCTACCACCTCACAAAATTTCAAGGGGGGTCGTCGGAGGAATTTTTTTTTCGTAATAGAGCTCATATAAAGAGAATTTCACTCGCGGTCACTTTTTAGCCCTCGTCGAGGGCTTTGAGTGTAACCGACAGTTTTCCCTAAAGGTCAAGCCATTTACCTATAAGCTTGCCAAAAATGAGCCAGATGTAAAGAGGGTAAGTGCCATAAAATCCGTTTTGAAATGACCCTCTGTTTTCCCCATAAAATACAAAGATTATATTGGGAAATACGACTGGTCAGTTTTGACCCATTTCCCGATTTTTCCCGGACATGGCGAGTTTTTTGTGACACCCCAAGGCGTTCTCCTACCACCTCACAAAATATCAAGGGGGGTCGTCGTCGGAAATTTTTTTCGTAATAGAGCTCATATAAAGAGAATTTCACTCGCGGTCACTTTTTAGCCCTCGTCGAGGGCTTTGAGTGTAACCGACAGTTTTCCCTAAAGGTCAAGCCATTGACCTAGGAGCATGCAAAAAATTAGCCAGATATACTGAGCTTAAGTATCCTAAAGTCTGCGTTGAAATGACCCTCTGTTTTTTTCCATAAAATACAAAGATTATATAGGGAAATACAACTGGTCAGTTTTGACCCCTTTACGAAGTTTTCCCAGATATGCCGAGTTTTTTGTGACACCCCAAGGTGTTCTCCTACCACCTCACAAAATTTCAAGGGGGGTCGTCGGAGGAATTTTTTTTTCGTAATAAAGCTCATATAAAGAGAATTTCACTCGCGGTCACTTTTTAGCCCTCGTCGAGGGCTTTGAGTGTAACCGACAGTTTTCCCTAAAGGTCAAGCCATTGACCTAGGAGCATGCAAAAAATTAGCCAGATATACTGAGCTTAAGTACCCTAAAGTCTGCGTTGAAATGACCCTCTGTTTTTCCCATAAAATACAAAGATTATATAGGGAAATACAACTGGTCAGTTTTAACCCCTTTACGAAGTTTTCCCAGATATGCCGAGTTTTTTGTGACACCCCAAGGTGTTCTCCTACTACCTCACAAAATTTCAAGGGGGGTCGTCGGAGGAATTTTTTTTTTGTAATATAGCCCATATAAGGCACCGATCAGTCGAGGTCAGTTTTGACCCCCTCTCCGTAGACTTTTTGCCGAACCGTCACCGGCCCTCGTGTTCTATCGCCATAAGGCACCTTCGTGCCAAATTTGACGCGCCTGCGGCGACGGGAAGTGCCCTATCGGGCACCCGACCACTTTGCTTTATATATATAGATGTACACGTATGATTATCATATTGGGCAATTTTGTGCAAAGAAACAGTATCATCTCTAATATTCTCTGTGTCGACCTTCCGTTGCTAATTGGTTAAAGGTAAATATTTAGTAGGCCTACTTTATTAGTTGTTCCGGTACTAAAATTAGCAAATAAATTGACTCAGAAAATTCACCGCAGTCCGCGTAGTAAATTAAAGATAAATTAATAAGACGGAGACACAGTGAAGCATATTAATATAGAAATTTAGCTAGAAATTTAGGACAACGTTTCTGTTGCCATTTAAAACCATATAAAATCTAAATGTAGTGTCAAAAACTTGAACTAAAAAAAAAACAACTTAAAACTAAACCAGTGTTTCTTCCATACTTTTTTCTCCGGGTGGGGGCGGGGGACGGACATCGGTAAAAGTATATGTTTTTTATATAAATTCCATTTCATGGGGGGGGGGGGGGGGGGCTATATACCCCCCCCCCCCCCGAAGAGATGCCTGGAAGAAACTCTGAACTAAACTCCCCTACATTAACCAATAGTTTTCCGAATTCAGAACTTAAAACTTTTTAAAAACCTAACTATTAAGCTAAAACAAACTTGTAAACTTACCTATTATTCATTATTTTAAATGAATAAATTAATGAATAATTCTAAACGTTTAGTTTTAAAGCCCAAATCAAGGCTACACTGAATCAATGCAGTTAGATTATACCTTACCTTATAAGCTAACCGAAAACTTTTTTTATCATTAAAAACTAATAGGCTACTGCTTTACAAACCTTGGTAAAATCAGATGACTATCTTTATCCAAAGTTATTTCTCCACTGGAATTATTGATGAGAAAAGCTGCGTTTCCTTCCTGATTCGCTATGAAGTAAGTGACTCTAGAGCAGGGACAACCTTCAGGATCTTTACAAAATTCTATGTATGATCAAATAAATTGCAATACTAAGTAAAATAAAGACTTGATGAATGCATTAAAATTAAATAAGCAGCCGTGTGAGCCAAGCGCCATTGGCTCTGTCATTAGCACACTAGTGCCTGTATTAATTTTTGTTAGATTGTGTAAGACTTTTCATCGATAGCATATATATATACATATATATATATATATATATATATATATATATATATATATATATATATATATATATATATATATATATATATATATATATATATATGTGTGTGTGTGTGTGTGTGTGTGTATATATATAAGAATGTCTTCATTCATAAAAGTATGTATCTTAATTAATGAAATAAAGAACGTTAACTGCAAAAATTAACGTTCTCTAATTTTTGAGTTATACTATCAAGTGAGCGTTTAACTTGATAGTATACTATCAAGGGAGTTCGAATTACCTTCCGCGTAATAAGTTTGCGAATATATTTTCATCGGTTTATTTGAAAATGAAATTACTGTATAAACTAGATCACTCCAGCTAATCACCAATTAATCAATCTTTTAAATTCTCAAACTTATTGCTTTGAAATAGGAGAAGAAAATTTAGATACGATGGACCATCCTGCGTTTGAAGGGAGTAAATAATGGGGGGGGGGGAGGGGGAATTAACTATGGCCAATATGGGGGATAAGGTATTGAAATAAAATACGAAATTCATTTAAAAAAAAACAACCTTTTAATTAAAAGCTTTTATATGATTATACAATGAAAAGGAAATATTAAATGAGTTTCTTTACAAAATACAAAAACGAGCCACTATTTTACATGATAATATTCCAATATTCCAATATTTTATTTTTTAATACTTTATCTGTTTCATCAGGAGACGGATTTTAAGTTAAAGCATCCTCGCGAGCATAACCCACTCACTCATTTGGGAATTAAATTTAACCGAAAATGAAACTGTAACCGGAACCGTTATTCTAACAGCTTCTGGAAATGACAACGGAAGCTAAATTTTAACTAGAAACTAAATTTTTACCTGCAATGGAACGAAATTTTGACGAAAAATGCAAATTAACCGGTACCGGAAATTTAAACGAAATCTGAACCTTAAACTTAATCTTTTGGGGCAGGTATTTTAACCGGATCCTGAAACTTAAACCGAAATGAAACTTTAGCCGCCTATAATATTTTAACCGAATACGAAATTCAAAAACGAAAACCGAAATATTTCCGGACACGGAAATGTATCCGGAACCGGGAATTTTAACGGATACAAAACTTAATCACCCCCACTAAATGGCGTAACCCGGTGCGGTCCGCACCCCCCGCACTACCCTCATAATGAACATTTACATAAAAGCTTTAGAGATGCCCCCAACGTTAGACACAATGGTAAAGGGTATAATTACTGTTGGATGCCCTTCGAATATATTATATGAATATAAGCATAATTACTTTCAAGATGGCCCTACAATATAAAAAAAATCATAAAAAAACGTTTTAATAACAAGCTTTTATTTAATAATGCACTAAAAAGTAGAAAATAAATTATAGACTACTATTTAAATAACTATAAAGAAAAGCGTGGGTCACTTTAGTATCTATTAGATACCTTTACTAATGTTAAGGAAGACACCCACGCTTTTCTTTATAGTTATTTAAATAGTAGCCTATAATTTATTTTCTACTTTTTAGTGCATTATTAAATAAAAGCTTGTTATTAAAACATTTTTTATGAAAAACAAGTAAATTAAAAAGTCTAGTGACAATTTTAGCGCAATTTCCTTATGTTATCTAAAAATACCTCTGACGTATAATGCTGGGGTGCGTTCAAGCTAGGAGAACGATGGGTTTGTAGGTGTTAATGTAATTTTAAAATTTGTGACCGAACGAAAGGATATTTTTGAAAACTTTCTTCAGCAATATTGTTCTAAATTATGGCAGCAATCGATTGGTAAATGTTTCAAGTCGCTAAGTGGTCTGATTGCCGAGATATGGGCCAAAAACTGCATTTTTTCGAGGTTTTTTGGTTTTTCCGTGAAATCCAGGAAGGAATTCCGGGAATTTTTTTGGCCCACTATCATCCTCGGAACTTGCTTAACAAATTTGCTTTGGAACTAGTCCTCGATATTGCTTCGTTGAGGAGGAGATACGACTTAAAGCTGCGGACATCCATCCATCCATTCCCAGAAATGACGAGTTAATAATCGCAATTCTCCAGAATGGAAATTGCGCTAAAAAGTACGAGAGAAGATTATTTCGTAATATTGTTGTTAAAATTTAAGATAATATGGTGCCATAAGGAATTAGTAAAAACAAATTGCGTTACGTCAAACAACGGAAGTAGAATAGGGGGAATAAGAGATTTTTTAAAAATATATATTTAAGCAACTGACGGAAATTACTTTCTAAGACAATCACATACAGGGAATGTATTATACAAAGTAAAACGTACCATCATCAGGATCTATTGCCTCTACCGTATACACAGGTATTTTTCTTGCATGCTGCTCTTCATTCATCATCACTGTATCAATTTCGTGAACAAACCTAGGAGGTCTTGATGCTGTGTGTACGAAACAAAATTAAGAAAGGCTAATGATCTTTACAAAAATATGTAAGAAAAAGTGGACCGTCGTTTGTCTGCATATGAATAAACAGTTCTCGCTGAGGTGAACACGAAATAAAAGTATGCATGTAGCTAATTGTCTAAAAGTTAAACTGAGATTGAGGCTGCATAAATATGTAGCAAATTTTTTTCATCGCAGACTCTCATAATATCACTATCACTAGCACATACTGTAAGCCCCACCCAGAATATATCTTTAAAATAGTGCTATCCCTTTACCACCCCATAGCATATGCTTTAACTCCCAATCCAGTACTTAACCCTTCTTACCAAACGTCACAACATTACATATAGTTAACGCCCACCCCCCTTCCCCGTCCTTCTACACACACCGAATTGTAAATTTAGATTCTGTATTAAAAAAGCTCTTTATTTCTAAAATATTTTACTGTGCTGTATCAATACATATATCATATCGATCAATATTTAGTCATACAAAACGTCAAAATAATACTGAAATAAAGTTTCAGATTATTTTTTCAATGCAGAAGGGTAACTTAAGCTATTTTAAACCACCACTCCCTGACAAACATTATCAAACATTCTAACCCTCATCATATTCTAGGTGTTTTACGTCATTTGTTGATGATCCCAATGGCACTTGCAATTGAGACAGAATTAATAAAATCCATATAAAATCAATACTCCCGCATTTGGTTACAATACATCAATAGTTACAGGAGGAAAGTATTGATCTTTTCTCCACCAGTTTCTGAAAGGTATGAACAACTCGAAGCAAACAGAAGTAAGGCTCAATAGACTTTCAATATTTATAAACATCTGTATGTGAATGTCAAAGTCCCTATCAACGATTGTTTTCGTTTTATCAATTCGAAAATATATAGATTTAGATATTACTTGGTTTAAAGTGTGCAAAACTGTTAACTATATTTGTACCAATTTAAATTTTTAAACAAAGGTAAATATAAAATTGTATCTAAAGATTATCTAAAACTTTAGAGTTTAGCATGGGGTTAAAATAATGACTTACCATACGCGTTACAAAAGTCATTATGCCAGCAAGAGTAGCAATCACATGTCCCATCCGGTAGTGAAATTCCATGTTCACAAACTCTAAAATAAGAGATAAATGTACACATAAGTTACAAAAGTAGAATTGTAGCGACCTATTCTGTTGCCCGTGGCGAACTATAAGTTTGACGCCGCCACCCCAACCCCCGCACTCCCTCCACCACCCCACACCCAAATATCTATATTAATAAAAATGAAAGAATTCGTGTCTGTCCGCAATGCATTACTACACCTTACATCCAAGTGCCATAAAACTTTACGATGTAGTTGAAATTTTTTTTTTAAAGAGATGTAGATATATATATATATATATATATATATATATATATATATATATATATATATATATATATATATATATATATATATATATATATATATATATACTAGCCGTCCCGGTCAGGCCCTGCTCTGGCTTCTGTGAAAAACCTTTCTGTTAAAGACCATTACCTGTGTGTTTAGTACTCATCATAAACCCGGCATTGCCCACCCAAACCACAACCAACCAAAACCAAAACAACAAAACGCAAACATAATGCTAACACAATTACAAATACAAACGAAAACAAAAAACTAACAACAAACCCAACCACAACCACAAACACCAATACAAACACAAAGAAAAAACAAACAAAAAAGCAAACGAAAACAAAACCTAACAACAAACCCAACCACAAACACCAATACGAACACAAAGAAAAAAAAACGAAAAAGCAAACGAAAACAAACCAAATCCAAACGCAAAATCAACCACAAACACAAACCCAAAGAAAAAAACACAAACGAAAAAGCAAACGAAAACAAACCAAATCCAAACGCAAAACCAACCACAACCACAAATACAAACACAAACCCAAAGAAAAACCACAAACGAAGAAAAAAGAAATAACAAAAACGAACCAAATCAAAACACAACCACTAACGCAAACCCAGCCTAAACACAAAGAAAATACAAACGCGAACATAAACGCAAAGTGCTCACAGTCTAGCCCGGGGCAGAATCGCCTGTTTTAGCTTAATAAACGACTATAGTACCCCAACTTATTTATAGTCTTTTGCACTCACTTAAACGAACGTAGGTGCCAAACCAAACCAAATGAACAATTATAATACTCCAAGCTTATCCGTAAAATACCTACAACATTTGCACTTGATCAATCCCCGCTAATTATGTAAATATTTTTTCCCAACACCAAAACCAAGTAATAAAAAGTAAATTCTTTTCCACTAATGCAATGTTTTTTAAAGGGAAGTAATTGTGTTTTCCTAATTTATCAAAGGGAAGTAAGTGCTAAAGGACTAAATATAAATAATTTTCAGACATAATAAGAGTTTTTGTAAAAGATGATATTTTTAAAAAATTAATATGCCGACAATTATTACTATCAGTTTGAAAAATGAAAATTATTTCCCAACACTTTCAATAGTAATTTTTTAACTTAGATTAAATTTAGACCTTGAGCGCGATAATAATCTAACACTTAAATCCATGTAAGTATCCACGACAAACAAATTTATTTTTACATACAGACAGGGGCGTAGCGAGGGGGGGGGGGGGGCGGGGGTGCGGACCGCACCGGGTGACACCATTTTGGGGGGTGACACCAAGGCAAAAAATAGGAAAATATATAGAGAAAAACTTGAGAGGGGGTGCAAATCGAATGTTTGAGGTTGAGGGGGGGGGATGCAAATAAAAAACTTGAGGGGGGTTGCAAATCGAAAGTTTGAGGGGGGGGCTGCAAATCAAAAACTTGGGGGGGGGGGTGCAAATCGAAAGTTTGAGGGGGCGAAAACATGAAAGTTTGTCACCTGGAAGGGTCGCAACGCCTCTGGGGAAGTGACACCATTAAGTGCCGCACCGGGTGACACCCGACCTCGCTACGCCACTGCATACAGAATTGATCTTTATATATATATATATATATATATATATATATATATATATATATATATATATATATATATGGTGACAGGACAAATGATCTCAGGACAAATGATCTCAGACAAAATATCTCAGACAAAATATCTCACAGACAAATGATCTCAGGACAAATGATCTCAGGACAAAAGATACCAGGACAAAGTATATCAGGACAAATGATACCACGGACAATTGATCTCAGACAAAATATCTCAGACAAAATATCTCACACCTAAATTTTAATAGTGTAGTTGATGATTTTAGCTGATCTGAAATCTTTTTTATTGATTGTCATATGGTTTTGTTTATTATGTTTTAATATTGTTTATAGGCCTATATAATAATTGTAAGAAATGTTTGGCGTATAAACATTTTAAAGTTAGTATTAGTAATATAGTATACAAAGATTAAAGATTTTTTTTTATAGACAGCGTTAGTGAGCTTGCCAAACATGTCGAGCAAGAGTTCACACAATAGATGATCACATAGTATTGGCGTGGTGTGATCATAACGATGTACGTGCCGGCAAAGAAACGAGAGCGTTATGTTTGTGTTGATGATGCAATAAAAACAATAGTTTTACTTTACGAACCTGAAGACCCATTCACATTTTTTAAAAATATTTCGCGTGTTTTGAACATTAAAGTTGTATAAATAACTTTACTTTATTTGCTTTATACATTATCCTTTATCAAACCTTTCAGGCTAAAGGAGTAAGTTTGTTTTTTATTTTTACTTTTAAAATCAAATGCTATTACAAAGATTAAGTTTAATAAATCTTTTGATGCTTTGTTAAGTTTAACAAATTCATTTTATTCACAATTATTATGCGTAGAAAAAGTGAACAAAACCATATTGACAGTCAATAAAAAAAATTCAAATCAACTAAAATAGTGCACACTATTAAAATTTTGCTGTGAGATATTTTGTCTGAGATATTTTGTCTGAGATCATTTGTCCATGAAATCATTTGTCCTGATATATTTTGTCCTGGTATCTTTTGTCCGTGAGATCATTGAAGTGAACTCCAGGCAGGGTAAACAACTAAAAACCATATGCTCTTGATAAAATAATGAAAACATATTCTTCAAGGCAAAAACTTGCTGTGACTTTTCCTTCCCGTGACTTTTCACCCCCTTCTCCCCTATTACCAAGTAGAGGAACTTTATAAACTTGTATTTACATTATAATTAGGTGTCATCCATTTATGACGTACACAAACATTTGGAATTTTAGACCCCCACCTCCCCAAATAGTTTCCAATGTATTGGAAACTACCAGGTCGACAATTCTTTCCACCAGGTCCACCCTTAAATATTGGAGCTTGGAATTTCCGCAAAACGTATGAAGCTGGAAAAGCAACCCAAGCAGCCGCAGAAATGAGACGCCATGAAATAGCTATCCTGGGTGCCAACGAGTCAAGTTGGACTGGCTCAGAACAAAAAAGACTATTAACAGGAGAGCTACTGCTGTTCTCAGGCCACGAGAATGAAAATGCACCACATACTAAAAAAGTCGCATTCATGCTGTCAAACCAAGCACAAAGCGATCTCATTGGATGGGAGGCACACTGCCCCCAGGTCATAACAGCTACCTTTAAAACTAAAATAAGACGAATAAACATGGAAATATAATACAAGCCTTCGCCCCAACAAATGACAGCAAAGAAGAGGACAAAGATGAATTTCTACAACAGGCTAATGACCATTATCCAGAACCGCCCAAGAAAAAACATCCGTATACTAACGGGCGACTTTGCTTCAGACCATCACCTACTTGTTGCTAAAGTAAAACTCAAGCTGAAGAAAGACATGTTGGAAAGCAAAGGAAATACAGGTATAACACAGGCCTACTTAAGGACCCCTCTAAGCTAACTGCTGAATTTAAGCTCTATATTTCCAAAAAGTTTCAGGTCGTACAAGAGTTAATAATGGAAGAGACAATTGAGGAAAAATTGAAAAAAAAAACCCAACTCAAAACCTATTTACGTCAACATGTGAAGAAGTGCTAGGCCCTATCAAAAGGCAAAATAAGGAATGGATTTCAGCAGATACTGTGAAAGTTATTGAGGCGAGAAAAAGGAAGAAGACAACATTAAACAACAATCGTAAACGGTCTGCTAAGTTAAAACTCCTGGAAGAATATACTGAAACAAACGAAGTGTGAAGAAATGCATAAGGAAAGACAGAGATATTTAGAACTGCTGGTAAGTGAAGCAGAAGAAACACTGTACCATGGTAATATTAGGGACGTGTACAATACAATTAAGAAGATATCTGGGAAGTTCAGTGAAGACCAAAGAAGGAAAGATAATACCTGATGCTGAAGGACAGAGGAAAAGATGGGCAGAACATTTTGAAGAACTACTGAATAGACCAACACCAGAGTGCAAGCAAGATAGTGATCTCCCTATAGACTATAGACTGTAACCCACCTTCAAAAAAAGAGATACATAAAGCTATAAACCAGCTGAAAAATTGGAAGGCTCCAGAAATAGATGGTGTTACGGCAAAAACACTGACAGCAGATATAGAAACTAGTACCAAACTACTACACACATTCTTCAAGAAAATGTGGGAAGATAAACAAACATCAGAGGAGTGGAAGGAGGGACCAATAACACCTCCAAATAAAGTAAATCTTAGTGTATGCTCTAACTAAAGAGGGATAACACTTTTGTCCATCCCAGGAAAAGTCTTCAATAGAATATTATTAAGCAGAATGAAGGAAGCGATAGACCACACCTTCAAAATCAATAGGCGGGCTTTAGGAAGGAAAGGTCATGCATAGGCCAAATTGCTACTATGCGCATCATCATTGAACAGACCCAAGAGTGGAATTCATCTCTTTAATAATTTCATAGATTATGAGAAGGCCTTTGATAGCCTGGATAGACAGTCAATGTGGAAATTGCTAAGACACTATGAGGTGCCACAGAAAATAGCCAACATTATTATGTCTTAATATGAAGGTCTGAAATGTAGTACATGGCCAACAGACTTCGGAGGCCTTCAAAGTACGGACCGGAGTAAGGTAGGGTTGCCTACTTTTACCATTCATGTTCCTGCTGGCCAATGACTGGATTATGAAGATGTCAACAGAGGAAAAGCAAATCGGTATTTGGAGCCAGCTGGATGACCTGGACTTTGCTGACGACCTGGCCCTTCTTTCTCACACACAACAGCAAAGGCAAGATAAAACCAGCAAGATAAAACCCACAGAGGGAAAAGAAAAGTTCTCAAAGTCAATGCATCAAACAGCACCCTTATAACATCGACAGAAGAAGGCCTAGAAGAAGTGGATAGATTCACCTACCTTGGAAGTATTGTTGATAAGCAGGTGGGACAGAAGCAGACATAAAATAAGGACGGGCAAGGCAAGAGCAGTCTTCAACCAACTAAAAAATGTTTGGGGTTCTGGAGATTTAACCCTTGGAATAAAAATCCGGACCTTCAACACACTAGTAAAACCTGTTTTACTCTATGGAGCTGAGACATGGAGAATAACTGCTATAAATAATAAGAAAATACAATCATGTATAAACTCATGCCTCGGAAAGATCCTGCGAATTCGCAGAAATGATATTCTATGGCAACGGACAAATCAACTGCCAGCTGAAGTAGAGATCCTACAGAGAAAATGGAAATGGCTTGGCCACACACTCAGGAAGCTTGTATCCAGATCCAGCATAACAAGACAGGCCCTCACCTGGAATCCACAGGTCAGGAGGAGGAGAGGCAGATCAAGAAAGACCTGGAGACGTGACCTGGAAGAAGACACCAAGAAGATTGGATACACCTGGGAACAGTTGGAGAGACAAGCCCAGTACAGAGACACCTAGAAAGCTCTAGTCAGCGGCCTATGTCCCAGGAGGGGCGACAGGCAAACCTTACCTAATCTATATTACAGTCAAAACCCGAAGTCGACCAATGCCATTATCACCTCCTATTAACTGGCCGAAGTGCGAACTTGTTTTATTTCGAACATTGGCCGGTATAAGAGCGGACTTACATAGAGACTCATACCTCAGACACACGAATATTCACACACTCTCAAACACTCATACACACACTTGCCGGCCAAGTTACGAAATACGTTGTCAGTGTTAAGGGGGGAAGCTCCTGTAAAAAAAAACTTTTTTAATACTCGATAGAAAAAAGTTATTTCTTTACAGCTTTATTAAGTTACACCGACATATGCATTTCCACTAAAAAATAATTGGTGGAAAAATCTTGGTAACTATGACAACGGCGGCCATCTTGAAAAATTAACCCACTCGTAGGTGTTCCACCATTCATAAAATATTATATTTTATGCCCAATAAGTAATGAATTAATAATCTTCTTCCATATTTTGGATCCAGGATCTTCTCGCATTGAGTATTGGTGTCCTCTTCTGGTAGGTTCTCGAGTAGACTAAATCTATTTTTTAGTTCAATTGCGAAGTTTGCCTTCATGGTGGGATCTTTTAGTTTAGCTGAGTCAAATAGCTGGTGGTTTACTTTCCTGTCGACTCTCTTAAGCTATATATCAGAAAATGGCAGCACGGAGAAAGAAATTGCCACCAGAATAGCAATGGCAGGACAAGCTTTCAACAGACTCGCTAAGATCTGGAAATCATCCTCACTGCAGCAGAGAACTAAAATAAGGATCTATAAGTCAAATGTACGTTCTGTACTCCTCTATGCTGAAGAGTCATGGAAACTAAACGCAGTTCGGGTCCGTTTACGAGCACATTATTATATACATATAAATGCATATTTCAATTGTTGCTATGGTCATTACGTTTTCACTCCAGACCTTCTCCCCACCCCCCACCCTAACGAAATGGAATTTATATAGAAAATACATACTTTTAACAGTGTCCGCCTCCCCCCCCCCCCCCCCCCGAGAAAAAAGTCTGGAAGAAACACTGATGACGAACGGGCCCACTGATAATTTTTGCATAGGGGTCCGAAAATACTAGCTACGTCACTGGTTTAACACCGTGGTCACTTTAGTATCTATTGGATACCTTTACTAATATTTAGGAAGAGACCCACGCTTTTCTTTATAGTTCTTTAAATAGTAGTGTATAATTCATTTTCTACTTTTTAGTGCACTATTACATATAAGCGTGTTATTAAAACGTTTTTTATGAATTTTTTTTCAGTACTTTAAATATTTTAAATTTACAATAGAGTGACTAAAAACCATTGCGCACCTAATGAACGTGATGACGCATGTTTAATAATGCGGAATAGTTTGATGAGACAGCCTACTAATTTGGAAATTTTTAAAATTAATTCATACAAAATTAATTAGGCATCCAATATGTTAAATTTAATGTCATGTCGAATTGTCTTCATGTCTTGACCCACGTACCAACTATGAATGTATCTGTCAGTTAGAAGCGACGTAATTTCTCTCAAGCGTTTCGGTCTAGACTGACGAAAGACTAACGACAGAGACAGTGAGTTAAATAAAAGCTTGTAATAAAAGCTTGCAAAAAAAATATTAATAAAAAACGTTTTAATAAACAAGCTTTTATGTAATAATGCACTAAAATTAGAAAAAAATTATACACTACTATTTAAATAACTATAAAGCTTTTGTATGCCCCGGAGTACCCCAGCTCTCTCGTGAGCACCATGTCGCTTACGTTCGTGTTTACGTGCATTATTCATTATTGATACTGAGAATGGTTAAATGTAAGCAAGAGCGGTTCAATATGTCTTGGATCATTGTTGTTTGCGCGAGGGATTATCTTCTCGGTTCTGTTTGACCATTGAATCAAACTGCATGTATTTAATATAAAAAGCTCAATTCTGTAATGATCGGTCGGAATAAAGCAAAAAAAAAAAAAAAACTCTACCTAAACGCCATCGTGTGATATGTTTAAAATGCTCATCATCTAAATTAATAATTTTAAAAAATTAATATTGAAGGATTTTTAAAGCAAATTTCAATTTCCAAACTTATTGTGTTAATTGACGGCATGTACATTAAACAAAATTAAAGAAAATGTAACACCCTTCACAAAATATCTAATTTTGTTTGAAAATTACTACCTTTAGTCCTTTCGCACTAATTACTTACATTGATAAATTAGAAAATCACAAATACTTCCGTTTAAAAAACAGTAAATGGGGGGGGGGGTGGAATACTTTTAATACCATAATTAGCGTTGATCAATAAAGTGGTAAGTAAAACACAGATATTTTAAATACTGCCTTTTGTTTATTTTATACATTGAACGTACTGTTTCCTAAATATTATTTGTAATCAATATCGGTTTAGAAGCCGCTCCTAAATGTCCTTTATGTTTACCTCCCTCTTTCCGTTTGCAGATAAGATTAAGGGCATTAAAGTTTTAACTAAATTGAATCAGGAGTTTCTTCCAGGCATGATGCCCCCCCACCCCGGGAGAAAGTCTACCGCCCTCCCCCGAACGAGGAATTTGTATAGAAAATATATACTTTTAACAGTGTACGCCCCCACCCCTCGAAAATGTCAAGTGCCCTGAGCTATCCTGTGACCGCTATGGTGCATAATTTCGTTTTTAAACAGTGCAATAGACTATGGAAAGAAAGGTTACTATAGTCTTTAACTGAATCGAATCCGGGTGTCTTCTGGTGCCCCGATAGTATACTATTTTGCGCCCCGGGCCTTCCCGTGTTCGCTATGGCACCTACAGAGGCGAGGCGTAGCGACCCTTCCCGGCGCCTGGGGACAAACTTTTCGATTTGCACCCCCCCTCTCAAGATTTCGATTTGCGACCCCCCCCCCCCGTCAAACTTTCGATTTCCATCCCCCATCGAGATTTCAATTTGCACCCCCCCCCCCATCAAACTTTCGATTTGCACCCCCCTCAACCTTTCAATTTATTTTTCCAACCCATTTTGGCACCCCCTAAGGTCGGCGCCCGGGGACATATGTGTGTCCCGTCCCCCCCGCCCCCCCCCCCCTCGCTACGCTACTGGGCACCTAAGTTCGTTTAAGTGAGTTCAAAAGACGATAATAAGTTGGGGTACTATAGTCGTTTACTAAGTTGAATCAGGCGGTTCCGCCGGCGCCCCAGCATGGTGCGATTTGGCGCTCCGGGCTGGATTGTGAGCACTTTGCGTTTATCTTTGCATTTAAGTTTGTGTTTATATTTGCGTTTATTTGCACTATTTTGCGTTATCGTTTGCGTTTAGGTTTACGTTTGTGTTCCTATTTCTATTTCCGTTTGTGTTTGCTTTTTTAATTGCATTTGTGTTGTCTTTGTGTTTTCGTTTGTGTTTGTGTTTGTATTTATGTTTGCTTTTGTGTTATGTTTGCGGGTTTTTTTTTGTGTTTTTGTTTGGTTGGTTTAGGTTTGGGTTAATTCGAAAAGTAATATATTTCATGGTCCTTTACAGATAAGTTTTTCACAGACACCAGTGCAGAGCCTAGCTGGGAAAGCTAGTGTATATATATATATATATATATATATATATATATATATATATATATATATATATATATATATATATATATATATATATATATATATATAAAATGTGATAATAACATCAAATACATTGTTTAGTTTGTCTAAGTGTATGTTCTATTTTATTTTATTATATTTATACTCCTAAAAGTATATGCCTATTTCTAATCGTAAACCAAATTACTTTACTTTTAACTACCGCTTGAATAAATTGGCAAAAATGTGTTCTAAAAAAATGTGTTCTAAAATATATATGCCGACATTTTAAATAGTTTCATGTGTTTTAGTTAAAATAATCAACTTACTGTATTTCAGCAAGAATACCTGTTAAAACAAATATTTATATATATATATATATATATATATATATATATATATATATATATATATATATATATATATATATATATATATATATATATATATATATACATATATATATATATATATACATATATATATATATACATATATATATATATATACATATATATATATATATACATATATATATATATATATATATATATATATATATATATATATATATATATATATATATATATATATATATATATATATATAAACTTGTGAGTGTGTGAGATAGAAAGGACATATCTTTAAATTGTTAAATGGTGACAGGACAAATGATCACAGGACAAATGATCTCAGACAAAATATCCCAGGACAAAATATCTCACAAAGATATTTTGTCTAGGATCATTTGTCTTGAGATCATTTGTCATGGAACCCTTTAAATACTTGTATCATCCTAATATTTTTATCGATTTCTTCGGTTAAAAATGTTTACATCTAAAACCAAGTTCAACCACGCAGTTAAATATAAGCTGTCACACAATTATGTAGATAATAATTGCTTACTTTTATTCAAGAGATACATTATGAAAGCCGTAAAGTACAGCATCTCCCTCTTCAGCTTTCTTGACATCTTCTTTCACCTGGTCTGGAGTGAAAACGTAATGACCATAGCAACAATTGAAATATGCATTTATATGTATATAATAATGTGCTCGTAAACGGACCCGAACATACGTAGCATATATATATATATATATATATATATATATATATATATATATATATATATATATATATATGTCATATAGGCTATATATGTATAATATATTAAAATCACAAAACACTTTGTAAACATTTTTCTTTAGTGATACAATTTATATACTTTTGTGTCTGTAACTAATTGAATTGCAATTTGAGATAGTGGCTGACCTATCAAAAAATCAATTCTTTAAAAAATAAATGTGTAATTATATTATTTATGGAGTAATTAAATTTTTTACAAAACGTATTTTTCTATTTTCAAAATTAATTATAAATATATATTTTTAATTTACAATAAACTGATGCTAATGATGTTACCTTTTTCTACTTTTCTAGAACAAGCTGAAGTAAAACTCAGTTCTCACGTTAATGGACGCAGGTCGAAGACTACGAACAGCGCAATTATATTAATATGAAATCGCCCGTATGTGGATGGAAGCGATTGGTTCTATCGATTCGTGTACAGAATTCTATAGTTTCAATTCGATCGGTATTGATTATCCACAATGGTTCTGGATGAAGAAATGAATTTAAAAGTCGTTTGTGCATAATTTTGACAACACAGCTTCCTAATGTTTAAATATACATTCTTCAGTAAAAGAAAATAGATTTCTCCAGATAAACTACAAAGCAACAACAGTTTAGCAATTCAGAAGCTAAAAATGAACATAGAATATTACCAAAAATGACTAGCCCCGAAATACTACGAAACGAATGTATTTGCGTAGAGTCTATGCAGCAAATATCCATGATTTTAGAATAAATATAATACTATGAAAGAACAAAGACAGACCTTTGAAAAACACGTTATGCCATTGGTTATATTGAATGCTAATGATTGTGATAAAGTAATACTATGGTTATCTGTTATTTTGAACAACGATACCACTCCGTATAGATTGCTTGAGAAAATATATTATTAGAAATAAATTCTTTAAAAATCATAGATGTCTTTAAAGAGAATAGTTACAGAAAATGGTTTTGAGAGGTATATAAGTGTCTTAGCAATACTAAACACGTCATACTTTCGACTCCTTTCAAAAAGTCGATACTTGTAAGGTTATCCTACAGGTAAATAGACTATTTTTTAAATCTTTGACCAAAGAAAATGTATACTCCAAACAACACAAAAAGCACTCAAACCTTCTTGAAGTCAACTTTACCGATCAGGGAAATCACATCAATTTTGTTTTCTATGATAAAATACACAATAACGGTATAACCTAGTAATTTATCGACCGCCACGTCCTTAACGAGAAGGTCAAAACTGATGTCGACTGACCAGCGCCTTAGATGAGCTATATATGGAAAAAACTTTCCCATGTCAAAACATCATGATAATTCCTGAAATCGTTGAACGACACAAAAAACAACTACAAAAAAACGGTGTGACCCTCGAGTAAACTTTGGAAAGCATTTAGAATTGACCAGTTCGAATTTTTTATCTAAACATTGTTAATTTTGTGAAAAACGAGGACTGTTTTTAAAACAAATTTAGGGTACTAAGGCTCTGCACAATTGGCTAATGTTTTCATAGACCTCCGTAACTGAATTGGCCTTTTGGCAAAACGAGTGCTAAAAACTGACCGGGAGTGAAAATCTCCTTATATATTTCCCACGGCAAAAACAATTTGTAAAATCTTGAGGTAGTAAGTAAATCATCCCTAGTTGATCACAAAAAAACGGTGTTACCCGCGGAAAAACTTGGGAAGATCGTTATAACTTGTAAATACAAACATTGAAAATTATGTTTTAAAAAAGCGAGGACTATTTTCAAAACCATTGTTTGCATGCTCCTCGGTAATTAACGCGGCTTTGTGAAGAACTGATTGTGAGTAACCACCTCCTATGTATTGACGAAAAATATTAAAGTCAACCCCCCCCCCCCCGCTATTTTGTGAAGTTGTAGACAAATGCCACATGAGCGCAAGAAAAGCGTGTCATAAATTATGTGAAAAACAAAGCACATTTTCAAAGCAAATTTTAGTGTACTTAAGAATTGTAGATCTGGCCAATGGGTTCCGAAAAAACTTGTATTATATGTGGAAAAGTGTTAAACGAATCAAAGCTGACCAGAGTCCATATTTCCTTTTATAACAATTGCAAAATTTTCAAAAAGCTTTTACGTTACTTAGAATTTGTATAACTGCCAAATCATTTTTCCATGGACCTCTTCACTCAACCATATGGAAAAAAATGGTAAAGACCGAGAAATTCCGTGAAAACTTAAAAAAAGGACGAATTAATTAATTTTTAAAGTAATTTATTTTCTACTTTGAAGCGTAAAATTTTTTTAATTACAACAGTAATAATTTTAATAGGCCTACATGTTGAATTATGTATTATTTTAAAAAAATATTTTTTTTTATATTTAATTTAATTTAATTAATTTATATTCAAAATATACTCTACACTAAGCATAAGCAGTTCTATTTACATCGCACGTAATAGGTAGGCGCGCATACTTTGTCATCAGCTATGGGGTTGATCCTATCCTTGTTACCACTAAAGCAAGAGCTGATGGGAGGAGCCACTTGGACTACGGTCCGAATAACTTAATGAATTCATGGGTCCAAACCGTTTCAGAGCCAGCAAACTCGACTACACTATTTTTAGAGCTTCCAGAAGAAGGAAGTCCAGATCTGTACACCATCCATACATCACTAACTTCAGTAACGAAAGTCTTCGGGAGCCGGATGTTTTCCCGAAAGACACTTCGCCAAATGCGACAAACGCCCCAATGGACACTTGCCCGAATGGGACAAATGCCCGAATGGTAGCGCTGGATTGACAAAACTTATTTTTATAATTGTGCAATCGGCACATTTTATAGTTTTAAAATATCTATCTACATACAAAATCAGTGATAATCCAAACTTTTTACCTCTTCTTACCTTTTTACCCTTCAAACCGTGGTTGAGATAATAAACTCCCGTGGTTGCCTGTTTTCAGAAAAACAGCTGGCTTTCGCTAGTAGTACTAGATCTTGTTTTCTCTTTGTATATTATCTAATATAGAAGGTTGTTAAACAATTTTTAATAGCCAATTTAATAGATATTTCAATTGAAAATAAATTATTCTTGTATTCTCATAGAAAGCGATTTGTTTTTAATTTATTATTATTATTTTTTGTTGTAAGTTTGAACGGAATTGCTGAAATAGAAATGGGTTTAAATTATTTACAATTTAATTTGACCATAAATCCACCAACGGACAACGACTAACAGACGATCATTGTGTCATAAGAAAAAAAAATTTAAAATAACTAGCCAAAATATGTTTTACTTTCAATTTGTTACCACCACAATAGATATCGAGTTTTTTAGTAGCCAATTTGTTATGAAAAAGAAAAGGGAAAATACAGAGCGAAAAAGCAACTCGAATTGGAATCTCAACCTTTACCATACACACATGAGACAAAAAATAATCAATATATTGATCAGACCAGATCTCTGATCAATAACAAAGTACTAAGTTTTTGATCTGGCAGCTTGACACAAAACAGCTTAAAAGTGATGGAACAGGCCTTTGGGAAAAAAGAAATGATCATACTATTCGATTACTACCTGTTATTCTGGGCGAATCAAAATCAAAGTATCTTAACACAATACGCTATATAGGCCTACAGATAACTATAGGCAATCGGATAAAACATGTTGGCTTTGTCTAATTCCGAATCATTACTAATTGTCCTTCTTTATAATTCATTCGATGTCAGTTGCTTTGAAGAACTTTCGTTTTTAAAGAATTACTGTTACTAGCCCATTATCCTACCTGTGATGAGAAGACTAGTTAGGCATCCTATTCTTAGGGAGCCCCAAATATACTGCTTAATTGTTGGTTTTCACCAAAAAACTAAAGCTTTATGTTAGCACCACAAGCTTACATTTTTTTCAAAATACCTAACACGTGCACACAGTATAAATACAATGTCATTACCTCCTATCCATATATATATACATACACAGGGGCGTAGCGAGGTGGGCGGGGGGTGCGGACCGCACCGGGTGACACCATTTAGGGGGGTGACACCAAGGCAAAAATAGCAAAATATATAGAGAAAAACTTGAGGGGGGATGCAAATCGAAAGTTTGAGGAGGGGGTGCAAATCGAAAACTTGAGGGTGGGGTGCAAATCTAAAGTTTGAGGGGGGGGGGGGAGTGCAAATCGAAAACTTAAAAGTTTGTCCCCGGGAAGGGTCGCAACGCCTCTGAGGGGGGTGACACCATTAAGTGCCGCACCGGGTGAAACCCGACCTTGCTACGCCACTGTATATATATATATATATATATATATATATATATATATATATATATATATATATATATATATATATATATATATATATATATATATATATATATATAAGCAATGTATGTTTGTGTGAGTGTTTGTTTGTCCTTTATGCATTACTACACCTCTCATCACATCGCCGTGAAACGCGATTTGTTTTTCTCTATATACGGTATATAAAAATAAAATTCGATTTTGGTTTGACACCATTCATTTGATCGCTATCAAACTTTGGTGAGTTCATTAGAACACTTTAAGGAAGGGTTCTGAAAAAAAATATTTTTAATTTCACAAGGGCGTCGCCACGGGAGGGTGTGATTTTTCTCTATATACCGTACATAAAAATAATAAAAGTGAATTGCTGTGACACTGTTCACACGATCGCCATGAAACTTTGGGAGGATGTTGAGAATATTCCTGGTGAGGTTGTTGCGTTAAAAACATTTTCAATTCGCAGGGGTGGTGCCCCGGCAGGGCGCGATTTTTTTCTCTATATACGGTTTATAAAAATTTAAGTCTATTTCGGTTTTACACCGTTCATCCGCGTACCATGAAACTGTGGGGAGATTATTAGATCACTCAATGGTAGGGTTCTGCAAAAAAAAATATTTTTTTTAATATTGCAAGGGCGGTGCCTTCGGGGGGATCGATTTTTTTCTCTATACACGGTATATAAAAAATAAAACTCGGATGCGATTCATCCGAGTGCCATGAAACTTTAAGGAGTAGATGAGAATACTCCCGAGAATATTTCTGCGAAAAAGAAAACTAAAGTTTCTTATGGGCGGCGCCATGTAGGGTACAATTTTCGTCAATACACGGTTTGGCGCCCAAAGTTTTAGAGCGATTATGTTGGCACTTAGCATCCGTTAATCGAGCGTCCTGCATAGAGAGTAAGGGGTACTACTATATTCAGCGGTAAAACTACAACAGGCTTCTAAAAATAACTTTGTAACGCGAGGAAATCCTGTACAGTTTCGTCACCTTGCGAAAGATGAAAAAAATAACTTTTTGAATATGAGGAGCCTACTGTAGAGTTTCGTCACTTTGCGAATGATGCTATAAGCATCTATTATTAGATGATCCAGTCAGAAATTGAGATCGAGCATCTAATAATAGACCATTAGTAACGCTAGCATTTTGCATCAGTCACACTGATGTTTAAAACACGTCAAATTATTTTTTTAC